ATTAATTATATCTTGCAGACGTTTTCGTACTTATTGCTCTAATCTTATTAAAAAACTCAAACGATAATATCATTAAAAGCAGATATTAAATTATTTAAAAAACCCTAAACTACTCTGGCGCAAAATTAATGATTTTACCCATTATAAAAAAACTAGTGTACACCTACTTCATATTATACCACATTCTTTCGACTCTCTAAATCGCGTAAACCAATTTTTCGCAACTATTGGAAATAAACTTGCGGATGAAATCATAACCCTAACTGGACAAGCATCTAGATATGTCACTTACTTAAGTTCACTATCCCAAATTTACTCATTTGTCCTGCTGGAGACAGATCCAGGAGAAGTAAACAGCATACTTGAGTCACTTGACTCGGAAAGTGCTTCGGGGTGAGACTGCATACCCGTGGGTTTCCTTAAATTATCTCGAGAACTTATTGTTCCCCTTATAAGCCATTTGACTAATGTGTGTTTCGAAACGGGCGTATTTCCTGATGCGCTAAAACGTTCTATAATTACGCCCGTGCACAAAGATGGGACAAGAGTGATGTTAACAATTATCACCCGATATCTGTTTACCGTCCATTTCAAAAATAATAGAGAAAATCATAATTATAAGACTAGTAAGTTATTTAAATAAATACAACATTATTTCTGATACACAATACGGTTTTAGACAGAGACGATCAACTCAAGGTGCGGTCATTGCGTTAACATCTGAAATCACTGATAAGGTAGACAATGGTTATAAATGCGTTACCGTGTTTCATAGACTTGAAAAAGGTTTTTAAGACCGTATCTGTCCCCATCCTTGTGCAGAGACTTGAAGCTATAGAAATAAGAGGTAAGGCTCTCTCCCTCTTTGACAGCTACCTCCGTGGTAGAAGACAGCAAGTTAAAATAGTGATAATTTGCTTAGTGAGGAGGAAAACATTGTCTATGGTGTCCCACAGGGCTCGGTTCTCGGCTCAACACTATTTCTAGTGTATATTAATGATCTATGCAACCTGCGAAGCAGTGGTGGGAAAACCTTATCTTACGCAGACGACACGGCCATCGTTTATATTGGGGGCACGTGGGAAGAAGTGTGCAATAATGCCGAGCAAGGATTAGTTGTTGTAGATAGATGGCAAGAACAAATTATATTTGTTTTTCTCCTAGTGTAAGGTCTAAACCAGGCCTAAATTTTAAAATTAGAATCCACACGTGTGCGGACGGACCAATTCGACTAAAATTGTAATTGCCAAGTGCTTAAACATATAACGTCTACAAGATACTTGGGAATTATAGTTGACGAGTGTAACTTGGCATTCGCATTTGAGACTGTTACGTCACGAGTGCGCAAATTTATATGGATTTTTAAAAATCTAAGATCTAAGATGTGATGCCTTAGAAAACACTCAATCGCATCTATATTGCGCTAACGTAATCAGTTCTTACATATTGTTTACTAGTCTGGGGAGAAGCCACTAAAACTAAATTCACGCACGCATGCATGCACACACACAACAGCACAAACCCTGTTTAAAAACAAGACGCACTTATAGTTCCATATAGGCGTAGAACTACAGTTGCACAAAGAGCTGATAATTAGTTTATAAGACACTTTTATTTTTTCTTCTTAAATTAATTTTTACTCACGTTTTGTAAATTAGTCTCAATGTTGTTAATAATTAAGGGAAGAGCGAGATAGCTCCAACACAAGTATTATTAATTACTGGGGATATCTCATTTATAATACATGTAGCTGTTTTAAGACAAATAAAACATTTTCATTTCATTTTTCATTTTCATGTCGCTAAATAAAAAGACTAACTGAAAAGAAAAATATCTTAAAGAGAAAAGCAAGTAACACCCATAAGCATTGTCAGTTCGACCAGTAATTTCCACTTTTATTCATGATATTCTTTGGAACTGGGCAGATCATAAAAAGAAGTCATTTTATGATGTATGACTACGCATGTCATGAAATCTTCATGCATTATAATTGCCATTGCCACACTTTGATGTTTTTTTTGTTTTGAGATATCATCAGAAAGATTCTACTGCCCATTTTCTGTTTTATTTCCCAGTATGAGTTCTGATCACTCATTTTCCATTATAGTCTTCCATGTTAATCTCTACTGATATTCTATCTTAATCTAGGGAGAGGTTAATGTAAATCTGTAGCTTGTAGCCTTTTCTATACTCAGAGTTTGCTATATACTACGGGTTTAGTTTATATTTACCAGTTCATAGCTTATAAAGTGCTTTTCCATTAAAATAAGCTTGTTTTGTTACAAATAAAATAGCATAGAAACAGTAAACATTTTTATTGTAAATATTTTTTGTTTCCTCTTACACTCACAATACACTCATACATTATCAAAGCACTAGAAACCCGCGACAGCGTTCTGGTAATATAATATTTTTTAATGTTCTAATTTAACAGCAACTCTTTTAACTATATTTTTACTAGCAACGTTTTACACTCACGATATAATAAAGCAACAGTTTCTTTTTAATATTGTTGGTTTTGTTAGTTGTACACTCATCGCGAGTTTCCTCAAATCTCGGCATAATCGTTAAGTGGTATACCCTTGGATATACCAGTACACCATACACTATAATATTACGCACTATATTCTATTATTCAATCGTTTTCCACCTTTAATGCCCCCGCCGAAATGAATATGAAATGTAATAGTTCAGTACATGCAAAGAAACAGTAAAAAAATTAATTTGATCTATTTACTTTTATAACTGTAAAGATTAGGGAATGAAATCAACGAAATCAATTAGTAGAGTAGTGGGAAAAGTTGAAATATCACGAATAATGATAAGACACCTCGATATTCTGGTTACATTTTCACAAGCGAGCATTAAAAAACAGGTTGATATTGATAAAAAGAAATTGTAACGAAACGAATTTGGTTCAAATGCCTAAATATATTTCCTTATATCTTGTTAAGAAGGAATAAACAAAAATAAAGATTGCAGATTGGTTAATGGAGGTAGATAAATTTGCTGTAAATACGATCGTTTTACTTCTTATTATAAGCTAAGAGGAATTTAATACATAAAATTCGCCATAAAGTTTTATTTAATTTATATGTACTGGACTCTCAACAAAGATAAAATTTCAAACATAAAACAAAACGTGATATACAATTTAAAATTCAAACGTTAAATAAAATTATGGTTATGTTACGTTGATGACAGTTACTTTTAGCACTAACTTTTCATATCCACAAACTATAATAAGAAGTACTAGCGTAGTCAAATCGTAGCTCTAATACTGCTTTCCTAACGTAACTACCGTTAAATGCTCTTTGTCTTTGGTATTCATCACATTATTCTTTTCCTGATGAAGTGTTGCTAGTGTAAAAATTTAAACATATTTTTGTTAATTTCAAAATAATAATAAAAATGTCTATTTTAAAACGCGTTATAGTATCTAACGAATTAGCTAAGTCACAAAATAGGGTAATAGTTTGGACACAATAAATATTTAAAGAATAGAAGTTTAACACGTGGTTTTTAATTTTTATGAAGTCATTCCAGAACTACTTTTTTTAGACTATTATTAGGGCGACTTTCTAAGTCTTTAAATTTTTACTAGTGTCTCAAAAATTTGTAAGGTATTTAGCATAGAAGAATATTTTTTTAATAAATATAATTATTTAAGTTTATCATTATTATATTATAGTCATGTATTATTTTTACTAACATAAGCTTAAGTGTAGAGTGTCTCAAGGGCATAAATCTATAGATAATTTCATATACTACAGCAAAATAGTGACTATATAATTTTAAAATTTAGATGCACGTTTGTTAAAACAAACATATCAATAGTAACAAGAAGAAGAAATTTTAATAAAAGGCAACTTTATAGCTGTAGCGCCATGTTTGTTTTAGAAACATGCATTCATAGAAATTCAAAGCTAGAAGTAAGTTTTTACTGACAATTTTCAAAAAGTTGACATGATATTAGAAAAATAGGTACTGCATTTTTACTACTATGTGCTATTTTAATACATAAGGCGGAGCGTAGGGCTTAATTTTAAACTAACCAAATCCCGTTTTCAATTTATTTAGAAGATTTAAGACAGTAAACAGTAGGAAAAATGTTTTATATGTTACCTAGATAATTCGAAATCATTAAAATATGTTTATAAACAAGTTATTACTAAAACAAACAGTTTCCACCTTCAACCCAAATACTTGGACATTCCTTTTCGATCCAATATTTAATACATTAATAACATAGATACACGACTGCGTTAATTAACATAATATAATAATTTGCCAAAGCGATATGTTTTTTATTGTAACATTGTGTTTTATGCAACTCTGTATTTAATTTCTTTTAATATAACAATTGATTGTGTTATCAAATACTACGTTTAATATTCACACCTAACACACGTTATTTGCTCCGATAAACCAATAGTGATCCTAACTGTACATAAAGCTTTATTATAAAATAAAATCTAAACTTCTTTAAATACTATAATACTAAGCTATGCATGAATTTGCCACTTTGCCCCTTACGTTTTATTTGGTAGCGGCGCCATTTTGTCGTATGTTATGGTTAGGTAATGGCGTCGTTAAATTTAAAAAAAATTTTCGTTTATCCGAGAATTGGATAAAATATTATTATAGCCCTGATTTTTAAATATATTTTCTATTTTCTTGAGTCACCATTTTATTTTTACATTCAATTGAAGATCGTAACGACTATTTGCTTAAAATGATCGTATTGTCTGGGATTTTAATGATGATGTATCGATTTAGAATTCTATATGAGGCACATATTAAGATTAAGTAGAATACAAGGTAAATTTTGTCAATAGTCCTGCGCTAAGCATCGCTAAATTTTATAGCTACGTTCTTTAACACAACAGGAGACGCATAACAACATTTTTTTTTGTTTGAGATCGCATCTCAATGCGTCATCTTTGAATAGAGAAATTAATGATTTTAATTATAAAATAAATCATGGAGTCCGTGAAACGCTAAAACCAAGACGAAGCGCCGCCCAGCTTGGTGGATAGCTCCCCAATACCACGGCCGAACATGTTTCCAACCTTAAAAAAAACAAATAAAATGGTTTATAAGTTGTGTCGACAGAAAATTAATATTACAATTCTTGAATTTTTGTTAGCTCATCAGATGCTGAAAATATTAAAGGGACACAAATCAATCGGCTAAATTAGAGGTCAACAGAACCACTCGGATGGTGGCAGTGAAGTAATTTATCATCCGTGGTTCCGTAGCATCCTCAAATACGTCTGAGAAATAAGGCACGCATAATTCTCGCAAAACTCTTTGGGTTCTAGCAATATCGCACGATAAACCTTCGAGCTAAGAGAATGGTATGTCATCATTGCAACCGCACGGTAAAGGTTTTTAGAAGATAAAGTTTAATAGACGAAAATCTCATTAATATTATATTTCATTAATAGGTAATTTTATACTATTGCAGTCCCCTCGTTTTTTGGCTCTGGAAAATCGAAAAATCATCCGATTTCGATGTTTTTTTTAAATCGTCATTATTACGCCGGATTTATGAAAAAATTACAATAATAAAAAATCTTTTTTTTTGTATTGGTTTCAAGACCATAAATGTTCATGAAAATACACTTATTAACGTATAATTGTTGATAACTTTTTTTAAAATAATCGAATGAAGTTGTTATATTTTTTTCATAATCTACACAAAAAACGAACATTAAAAAAATAAGAAATGTTTGTTTATAAATTTCTTATTTTGGTGTTTATTGAGTGTAAGATCGAGCGATGCGAGCTCAGGACTTAGGGTATCCCGACTCGGACAGGTTAGGTTAGAAGGAGATGGCGGGGTCGAGTGAATGAGCGAAGCGAGCGAAAAGAACCCGCCATCTCCTTCGTGGTTATTTTTTTATAAACCACTCAGAAGTAGAAGGGGTTCCGTCGACCGGGCTTCCCTCGACTGCGCTACGGGAGAGAGTTGGGGGAGGGAAGCACACGGTCGTTTTTGTGTCGCACCGTCTTAACACCTGCCGCATTTTCTCAAAGGTGCGACATTAAAGTTCGTACTGTAAATTTAAAATCGCTTATTTTTGACTTCACGAACTGTGTTGGCAACACTTGGTATTTTGCGAAAATATTCAGAAAATACGAGTTCTAACGATAATATTATGTTAAAAGTATTCACAGATGAAAAGCCACGCTGTCCTTTTGTAGATTTGACGGTTTTGATTATTTTTTGCATGAAAAATATACAGCAATTCGGTTTTTTTGTCGGAGTTTAATCGACTGGCACGATCACTTGCGCAATAGCGCAAGACGCGGAGCAACTAGTTTTATATAACGGAGGGGTATGCCTTACGATGTCGTCTCCTTTAGTTTAATACTCAAAGAGATTTATTAAAAAAAGTATTGTTAATTATTACCTTCCCAACAACTGCTGAAACGTTACCGAGCTTAGTGTCCTCGGTAAGGGATTCTAATTTGGATTTTCCGCTCTTGGATCCTTCTTCGGAGCCACCGTCGTCACCTCCTCTGTGAACGATTGCTTTATTATTATATTTTTTCTTCATTAGCGCGGAATAGTCCACAACTGGATAGGTATTGGAATGGATAGGGATGTCTTCCATTGCTAGTGAGGGTTTTCCTTAATCATGGCTAGGCCAGCCATTGATTCAAATTTAGATAAAAAGAAGGAAGTGCTAATTATACTCTTTACTAATTATTCGGCGGAAAAATGGTTTAAATGCGACGACTAGGTCATAAAAAATGAACTAGAATATTATGAGACAGACAGAGTGTTCGACGACGAAATTGACAGGTTGGTATGTTTTTCGACATTACATTACATCACGCTTTCCCTTGCAGGGTAGGCAAACAGAATTGAGCGCCAAAAATCGCGATCCTAGCATCTTCCTTCTTCCTTTTTAACATACACCTACTTTAACACTTATAATTAACTGAAATATTGTTTGTTCGAAGCTTGATTATTAACTTAGGTGAAGACACGGACACAGATTATGACCACGACGACGATGAGGAAATAGATATGGATTGTGATGATAATTAGATTTCGGTGTAAATATGAGTGTAAATAAAAAACAATATTAAATTACTTTCTTATTTAGAAAAAATATTATTACTATTATTCGGTGATTAATCTTTTATTTTTCCAATTTTTGTTCTCCTTTCGTTCTACTTTCGGCGTGCATTACATTTTATACTTGTACTAGATTTTGCAAAGCTTCCCCATGAATCACTCCGTCTATTGGAGAAAACCGCATGAAAATCCGTTCAGTTGTTTTTGAGTTTATTATACAGACAGACGCGGTGAGGGACTTTTTTATAATATAAAGTGATTTAATATTATATCATCACGTTTGGCAGGCAGATAGACGATCGCTGTATAAAAAAAACTAAAGCAGATTAAAGTAAGAATTTGCTAATATCACGTTTCCGTTTCCTTCTCTTCTCTTACGAAACCCACATAACGATATGGGGTAGTGGATATTCTTACACCGTCACTACACTGTTGTTCAAAAACCATAACTAAATAAAAAAATTAAGTCAGTCGTTTATACCTATAGCACAAGTGTTAAAAAATAGGTATTTTGTGTAGTCTGCGTTTACCTAAACTGCCTAGAGTAGTAATCAAAGACAAATTCATCATGGAACGCAAAATTCGATGCATTCTTAGAACGTTCTACAACTATCGTTGGATTCAAGAGGCTGGTAAAGGGAGAACTGGAAAACCAACCCGGCATCTTGTTGGGCTAACAGAAGACTGCACGTGGTCTCTTCGGTGTGCATTCTAGCAGCTACGTTCTGGTACACCTTCGAGTTGAGTTTGTCATCGATTACGCCTTGCAGCTCGAAGTCACTGTACATTTTCTGGAAACGAGAAATGAGATTTTTGTGTTAATGTGTCATGAATAAACGGCGTAATAGAAAATGTTTGCGTTATAAATGGCCAAATATAGGTAAAAGGAATTACTTGAAGCAGTTTGCACTACCGTTTATAGTTCTATGTCTATTATAGATCTATGTCGTAAAACAAAATGTTATATCGTCTTCCTATCATAGAATTGGGCAGATTGTAATGTGCTTGGAAATTTCATGATACAACGCCTTTTCATAATTTGGCCGATAATTTATCCGTCACAGCACTTTGTGCCTAATTTTACGCATGAGGATGAAACAAATCGTTCAGTTCACCTTGTTGACCATTTACGGAAAAGAGAGGGAAGGATTCAGTTATTATTGATTCTTGCAACTAAAACATGCCACGCGTGCGAATTTGCGGGCAAAAGGTATTTTTTTTTACTATTCTAATCCAGCACTTAACAACTTCATAAAGCAACGCAAAATTCATGAAGCAAGGCAAAATTCATAAAGCAACGCAAAATTCATAAAGCAACGCAAAATACATAAAGCAACGCAAAATTAATAAAGCAACGCAAAATTCATAAAGCAACGCAAAATTCATAAAGCAACGCAAAATTCATAAAGCAACGCAAAATTCATAAAGCAACGCAAAATTCATAAAGCAACGCAAAATTCGATGCATTCTAAGAACTTTCTACAACTATCGAGGGATTCAAGAGGCTGGTAAAGGGAGAACTGGAAAACCGATCCGGCGTCTTGTTGGGCTAACAGAAGACTGCACGTGGTTCTTTCGGTGTGCATTCCACCTAATGGTAAGTGGTTATGCAGCCAATGATGATGAAGCGCACTGAACTTAGAATTATATAAAGAACCTTACCTTCAGTATGATGGAGAGGCAGGCGACCTGGTGTGGGTGCAGCGCGGGCCGCTCGGCTAGCCACGAACTGATGAGCCCCACCTGAATGCCGTACCACTGCTCGAACAACTGCAGGATCCATAGTTCATCTGTCACCTGTACACAAGATATAAACGTGTCCCAAGTAAATTGCCTCGAAAGGTGTTGTGCTCTACTGTAAATCGATACGCAACAATGTCAAGTAGCCCGGGCCTATCACAAATTTGAATTAGAACTGACTATCACGATCGATCATAACGGACCAATGTATGAGATGATACTTTGTCCTAGGATTCAACAAGTACTTAATGGTATTATATTGTAAACGAAATATATAAATTCTTTGCCTTCTTCTTTTATTTTTTTTTTGCATCTTTAAGTTTCTTAATATGCAAATACGATAAAAAGGCAAGATTTACATTTTTGAGTTCACTTGAAACGATATTTTTTTCAATTAAGAGCCCGCACCCAGGGTCGGTATCTTGGGAAAACAATAGGCCTCTCCCGTTATAGGGAGGCTTAGCAGGTGGATTCCTGATCGCTGTACCAGATTTTTCGCATTATTGAAAGAACCAGAAGCCACCCATCACTAGTCTGAGTATTTTTCGTGTGGCGTCTATCAAAAGGGTTTCAGCGTCTTCGTAATAACGACTAAAAATAAAAACTGCGGTTGCCATCCCACTTTCCAAGCGTGGTAACTATGGCAAATATCCCCCCTTTTAGACAATCTATGGGGAGGCCTACGTTCAGCAGTGGACTTTTAAAGGCTGTAATATATAGATAGATAGATAATGTGAGTAAGTAAATATAATTTTTCTTTACCTTTGATCTGATTTGGTCCATGGAGTTCCTCATGAAGTTGACGTAGCCCTGGCCTATGTCCTTGCCGGATCCAGACACGTTCGCTATGGTCAATATCGACCCGATCAAACTGAAATTATTAAAATTCCGAAATTGAACTTATAATATTTAATATGTAGTAGTAGCTGTCGGGCCACAATGACGTAAAAACAGGCCGCACAACAACCGTGAATCACGCTATCGAAGTTTCCGAACGACTTTTTTTATAATCACGCCTAAAGCTGTAAAGTCTGGGAGTCCATATTTTTTGTATGACATTCAATCAAGAATTTTTTCGAACTCAAGGTTTCTTCTTTTCTAACATAGAGTCATTCTGGGTTAGTATCACCTCTCACACTTTTTAACAGGTGTTGGGACTCCTTTCCTGACGAGGAGTTCGTCTGAGTAAGTTCCATCCTTTTGACTATTTCTGCCGCCAAACAGCAGTCCATCCAGAGTATCCCAGTTGAAGGGTAAGTCAGTAATTATATGATTTGAGATCTTCCATCTTAGCCCTCAGGAGAGACGACCCAGTGGCTTTGTTTTCGAGAGTTCGTTGCATGTGTCTAGTGTAGTAGGTGCAGTACTGACTTACCAACAGATGGTTTGTTAGCTCGTTCCTCACTCTTATAGTATAAAAAGCACAGTGAAGTCCTTCACCACCAGCGCGTTAAAGACCACATGGGCTACTCTCAGTACATGGATTTTAGGGAGGAAGTGCGAATGAAACGAAATCTATTATATAATTATTGTTTTGACCGTTTTAAGTATTGTTTGTTACTAGCATACGGTTGCGGACGGCTGGTGTTTTGGTTGAAGGACAATAATAAAGAAATGTGCCTAAAATCTGAGTTAAATGTGTACGCCATTTTGAATTTACTATTGAATATTTAGGTCTAGTCCAGACCGCCTCGAATTTAGTTGCCTGTTTTGAACGTGTTACGTGACAAGAGGCCTAATTTGAGTTTAGAGTGATTAAAGGAACTTTTATGCCGTTAATTACATCGAAGAGTTATTAGTGCTTCGTTGGATAGCTTTATAAGACTTGTCGCTGAGAACGCTGAACTTTGTGATCCCTGTGTAGATCGCGCGCGATTATAGTTGATTATAGTAGACGCTGGACTTGGGCTCCGATAGCGGTGAGCGTCTTGTGGAGCGGTGGGCGCACGTGGTGCAGCTATTTGATCGTATTGCTGACGTCAGATTACACTATACACACCAACTACCATTTACTTGCCCCTGACGCCACCTTGTGGTAGACCCTACACTTCTGGAATTCGGTAAGTTTTGTGTTTGCGTACCTAACCGTCCTAATTTAATTATCCATAGGTCTTTGAACCCTCCCCTCTGTTACCCGTCGAATTGGGCTACCGTGTGCCTTAGCTCAATCAGCCTTGTCGGGGTAACTCAGGGCCGTAACATGTGTATTGCTTGCTCTAACTTGAGAGATGGGATAGTTTTTATCCCGATAAAATACCCTCAATATTATTTACTGCGAATTTACAGATTTTTTATATTTGGAAAGGGCAGAACAATGTCTACCTTGCTAGCTAATTAAATATAATGTTAACTTCGACTTAATTAAAACTTCGTTTGTCAAATGTCATTCTTTCTTCTGTCAATACAAAGTATAATAAGTGTGAGTCTACTAATCTTATGTGAAGTGGAGGTAGAGTAAAAATTTGAAAAAATCATTCATCATTCATCATTAATACAGCGTATCACAAGTCTACTCCCCTCTCAATAATGAGGGGAGACCTGTGCCCAGCAGTGGGACGTATATATGCTGTAACTTAACTTTTTTTACAAGTCTGCTGATAAAATAGGACTCTGCATGTCTTATTAGGTTAACGCTATACTCTTGCCGCTTATTCAGTGGTTTTGCCTATCACTGAGCTTATCACTTGAGATAATTTTGTTGGCGATTTCTCTACGTCTAAGACTGACTTTCACTTTGATAGCTTTAACAGTAGACTGAAGGGGCAAAGGGCTGGCCAAGTAGCCTTAAAATCCTAAAATGAGCACTAAGTGTCAAATATAAGTAAATAAGAATATTTGGTTTGCGAATAAACTTGACGACTCTTCCTTCACTACTCATTTTTTTAGAAGAATAAGCAAACGTGCAATCCTACTGCGTCTACATCTTTTCTCAGTTAAGAATAAAAATGCAGATGCGTTGTCACAACAGAGGTGACTAAGATAAAACGACCCATTTCGAGTAAAAAGGGTTTTCGGTTCTTTATACTTACCATACGAAACACCACCATTCAAACATTAAGCTGCCGTTTAACGCTGGTATTCTGTGAGAGCGTTGTCCTGCTCTGGTCGAGCCGACCCATTCGTGCTATAGCCATAATATAGCTGCAGCATGACTCTATCACGTTGTATTCATTTAAATGTTACACTATGAATTTTTCCTAAGTCATGGAAACGTATTACATACATAAATTGCGGAACACATAACAATTTGCATACCTTCCTTCATCGAATCTCGCGATCTTGGCCAGCGTCGCCTCCAGCACAGCTGAGAGACGTGTCGTCATGCCAGTCGCCATCGCTTGTAAGCAAGCCTCGATTTGAGCGTCCATTTTTGCGTGGTACTGGTACTGGAAGGAATCGTTATTATGTACTACACTCGATCGACACAATCATCCATATTGATAAAATATTCATCATCATCATCATCATCATCATTATAGCCCTTTAGAAGTATACTGCTGAACATAGGCCTCCACAAAGCAATGTCACAAAGCACGGACCTGCATCACCTGCATCCATCGACTTACAGCATGGCTTACCAGGTCCTAACTTCATCTAGTGGGGGACGCCCATCACTTCGCCTGCCGGTACGAGGATGCCACTCGAGAACCTTTCTTCCCCATCGGTTGTCGGTTCTTTGAGCTATATGGCCGGTTCATTGGCACTTTACTTTACTAATCTGTTGGGCTATGTCGGTCACTTTGGTTCTACTGCGGATATCCTCGTTTTTAAGATTATCACGCAGAAAAACCCCGAGCATAGCTCGATGAGCGTCTTTGAACTTCCTCATACGGTCGGCAGTGTAGGACAGAAGAGAAGCAGTTTTGAGATACCTATACTTGACGAGAAAATGTGTTGTAATCTCCTGAACGCTGCCCAGCCGAGTTGAATCCGTCGATTGACCTCTCGGTCGAAGTTGGATTTACCTTGTCGAGCTATTTGTCTCAGCTTTAACACATATACCACATTCGAGTTACATTTAACCATTCAATCCCCATAAAATCCCATGCAGTCGCATGCGTCCATCAAATCCCGAGCGGTTCCATGCGACCGCACCCACCCACAGCACTTAAAACCATTAAAACTTTCTTCTTCGTCTCTAAATATAAGTTTTACAGGTTTAACGTGCTGTGGGTGTGCGCGGTCAAATCCGACCGCTTGGAATTTGACGGAATATCGCCTTGGTCGGATCCGACCACTTGGGGCTTGAGAGGAACATATTCGAGTACTCGTCAACAAATTCGAGTTTAGTGCTTCCAAAAAGTCCCGGTATAGGTTTGTCATGGATGTTACACATGACTGTCGTTTTGTCCATGTTCATCTTAGGACCTGTCCGTTGGGAGACTCTATACGGGTCATTGAGCATAGTGCTTAGGTCCTCCAGCGATTTTGCTATAAGGACTATATCGTCGGCAAATCGAAGGTAAGTGATGTACTCGCCATTGACGTTAATACCGTATCCTTTCCAGTCTAGTAGCTTGAAAACGTCTTCCAATGCAGCGGTGAAGAGTTTCGGGGATATAACGTCACCCTTACACCTCTCTGCAATTGGATAGGCTTCGTACTCTGGTTCTGTACTCGGATAGCCATCGTAGCCCTACTGCACTTCGATATACCGACAGTCAACTTTGCACCGCTGAAGGAACTGCAGCACAGCCATAATTTACGCAAGGCAAATTGGCAGATTGTACTCTTCGGTCTTTTATACATTTTGCCGAAGGATATGTATCTGATCTATGGTACTAAAGCATTTTCGGAAATTGGCATAAAATAATAACAATGTAACAAAACAAGATCGGTTAAAATATTAAATTATATTAAAATAATTTTTAAAATGATATTACTTGAGTTCATTGGTAACAATTATTTATTTATTTCATGTGTATTTATTTAAAAATAGGAATAATAACTCAACAAGACATAATGATGTATTAAAATTATAAAATAATTGTTTTAATTAAAATGAAATTGCTACATTATATGTTATGTTGCAAATGAGAACGAGCTGAATTAATTATTGTCATCAATTACGATTTATGAAGATTTTAATTGTTCTTTAAATAAAAAATAGAAATGTGTTTACTTAAAAAAAGGAAAATAAGTAGTTGGATTTTAGACGATTAATTTTCTTTGATTTCTTTAATAATAAATATCAACAAAAGTTGCAAGATTATGCGTCGTAATAAATATAACTGTAAAACATAAAAATTTATTTTTGATATAGAATTACTTTGATAAGAAAATAAAGTTATTACGCATTGAAGTATGTAATATGTACTTACGTACTAGAACAGCTATCTCAAACAAAAAATGTGCGCTACTCTGTGTTCGCGCGGTTGTTTTTTTATCATACAATAAACATAGGTAGAATGATCCGTAGGTAATAGTAGATTGTATTGTTAAATAGGCAAATTATATCGAGAACAATATTTAAATTTTGTTATTTATTTTGTGTATTATATTTGCTTATTTAATATAATATTATATCACAATTACATTTTGATGATATTTTTATCTGAATATTTTAAAAGATGTCTATGTCAAATGTAAAGACGATATAGTCATTAAATCAGGAATGCTAGTCGATCTCTATAGTGCCTTCCAACGCATAGGTCTTTATTGCCGTGTAGAAAAAATACTGTTTAATGAAAATAGTAATAAAATCAACAAAAAAAAAATACGTGTGGCACTCGGTGACTGCCGCGGTAAAGCTATTGCATAGCATTTTTTATCAACTTATGCAATTATAATTATTTATTTATTTTATTTATGCAGTTAAGTCTTTGATATTAAATCAAGTTACAATTTTTGAGCGTGGTGACCGATAAGAAAACATTTTTTTTTCTCTTATTGAATAAATGAGAAGTTAATATTGTTTAAAATATTTTTAATATCTTACAATACATGTAGGTTATTCAGGAATTTTTATCGTTGAGTTAGCAGCTAGTGTACACGCATACGTCTAGTCGCACGCACACAAACACCGTGCCGAAGTCTGCCGAGTGCCGAAGTCTGCCGAACTGAAACGACGTTGATTATCGTCTTCATGCGCCTAGGTGCATGGAGGTTTCGGGCCTCGGGGTGTGCCCCCATTACCAGTGCTATCCTCGCGGTCCACCTCTATGGACCGGTCCTGGGAGCCTTCTATTGGCATTGTTAATCTTAAATTCGGATTAGTCCGTAATCGGTACATTTTTTCGTAGTTTTCAACGCCACACCTCCGTGCCCGTCGGAGTGGGGAGCGTGAGGTTTTTTTTTCGTTACGGAATTTCTGGATTCGGTCCCCGCGCTCAAGGCCCGCGATAGAAGCTATGCAATAGCTTAAAAAAACATACTAAATGTATGTTTAACAAAACTTATTAACTAACATTTCAAAAGAAATAAGTAAAAGTAGTGAAATAAACTGTTTCAATAGTGTTCGCGTAAATTTAAAATCATTATAACATTTCAATTACAAATATATTTATTTAAATTAGAATGAGAGTCGTTCATAAATGCTGAGCACGCGAGAGTTAAATATATATATTAACGACTCTTATTCTAATTTAAATAAATATATTATATGTATATGCTCTCTCGCAGACTCGACGACTTCCAGCCTCCCTAACAAGCCGGTTTCCGAAAAGGCTTCAGTACCATAGACCACATACATACCCTGCGGCAGATTGTACAGAAGACCGAAGAGTACAATCTGCCACTTTGCCTGGCGTATGTGGACTATGAGAAAGCCTTTGATTCCGTCGAAATTTGGGCGGTGCTACAGTCCCTTCAGCGGTGTCAAGTTGACTGTCGGTATATCGAAGTGCTGAAGTATTTGTAGAGTAGGGCTACGATGGCTATCCGAGTACAAAACCAGAGTTCGAATCCTATCCAACTGCAGAGAGGTGTAAGACAGGGTGACGTTATATCCCCGAAACTCTTCACCGCTGCGTTGGAAGACGTTTTCAAGCTACTGGACTGGAAAGGATACGGTATTAACATCAATGGCGAGTACATCACTCACCTTCGATTTACCGATGATATAGTCCTTATGGCAGAATCCCTGGAGGACTATGCTCAATTACTGGTGTCTCCCAACGGATAGGTCTTAAGGTGAACATGGACAAAACAAAAATCATGTTTAATGTCCATGTCATATGCCGGTAGTTGTTGGGAGCACTATGCTCGAAGTTGTTGACGAGTACGTTTACCTGGGACAAATAGTCTGACTAGGTAAGTCCAACTTCGACCGAGAGGTCAATCGACGGATTCAACTCGGCTGGGCAGCGTTCGGGAAATTACGACACATCTTCTCGTCAGGTATACCTCAATCTCTGAAAACTAAAGTGTACAACCAGTGCGTATTACCAGTGATGACAGTGATCAGAGACGTGGTCCCCCACTGCTGGCCGTATGAGGACGCTCAAGGTCGCTCAGCGAGCTATGGAGAGGGCTATGCTCGGAATTTCTCTGCGTGATAGACTCAAAAATGAGGATATCCGCAGTAAAACCAGAGTGACCGACATAGCCCATCGGATTAGTAAGCTGAAGTGGCAATGGGCCGGCCATATAGCTCGAAGAACCGATAAGCGATGGGGAAGAAAGGTTCTCGAGTGGCAGCCTTGTACCGGTAGGCGTAGTGTAGGGCGACTCCCCACTAGACGGAGTGACGACCTAGTAAGACATGCAGGAAGTCGATGGATGCAGGTGGCTCAGGACCGTGCTTTGTGGCATTGCTTGGGGGAGGCCTATGTTCAGCAGTGGACTTGTGAAGGGCTGTAATGATGATGATGATGATGATATGCTCTCGGCTTCGTAAACACAACAGCGTATAGGTTAGAACACGCACGGCTTGATAAATACATACGCATTGATATTGTAATATTAAAATATAATTTTCTTTTAAATTTATTAAAATTATGACGCGTACACTTGCTAAACACACAATAAGGGAGAGATTATAACGCGTAAGAGTTGGTTAGCACAATAGTAAAGAGAGGTTATAATGCGTACTTGCTAAAAATACCTAACTCCATCATCAATATCCGGGAACTTGTGCAGAAACACTGTCAGGATTCATTATTGTTATTATTTTTTATTATTTATTATGTACAAAAACCTGTATACACTCAACAAAAATAATCGTCGCGACACCACACTGTTCAATGTGAAATAGAAAGACGAAACGAAAATAACTGGCTTGCTTTCTAAGAGAGAGAGAGAGAGAGAGAGAGAGAGAGAGAGAGAGAGAGAGAGAGAGAGAGAAGACAGACAGAGAAACACGTGCACGCCGCAAGGCTTACAACTACTTTTGGTCTTAATTTAAATAATAAAAAGATTTAAACATGAAAAATTTTGCCTAATCGTAGTAATTTATATATGTTTCTAGAAAAAAAAATGTGTATAATAATATATTCGTCCTATAATTAAGTACCCACAGAAATGTCGCGTTTGAACATATTAATTACATAATCTATATTCCCATGACACGAGATGGCGTCTTAAGAATAATTTGTCTTATTGTTAATCGATAATACTTTTTTATTGATTAAGTATCTTATTAACCGATGAAAAGTAATTCCTTGGTTTTTACTATCATTTCTTCAATTATTTGTGCAATATCTAAGTACATACGACGGCATATTTTTATCAAGAGATTTTTTTTTAATCAACACAACACGTGTCAACTCTACAAGCGCCTAGCGAGTGACTGATTAAAGTGCGGTGTATGCACCGCAGTTGAGTGGAACAGAGTAGCTGAATGCAGTGTCGCCTCTAGTACGTAGTACATAATAGTTCAATGTTATTACGCGCAATTTTTTATTTATAGATTTTACTATAATACGTTAAACATAATATAACACACGGTATATTATTATAATACCAGTTACAATACTTACTGAGAGTGACGGATTCATAGCCTTGAGAAACAATTTAAAAGAACGAAAGACATGCAAAACGTAAAAGTAATTAAAAAATTAAAAGCATAAAATAACACAACGAAATAAGAAGAAACATGCCCAAAATATGTCAATAAAAATCAAAATCAATTGAATTAATTGAATAAGTAATTGAAAATATACAAAATATCTAAATAAACTTTAATTACTTACATTTATAATATAGTGCTTTGATATATTTGGTTAATATTGTTAATCTATTGTAAAAGACTGAATGCATAGAGAAAATATAGGATTTTGTACAACTCGCGGCACGAAAGTCTAGCGGTCACAGTTATTGCGCATAAATGGTCGTATTGCGCATTATTGCGTATGATTGGCTGTGCGTATCGTTCGCACGCACTGATTGGCTCTCCAGTTGCATTCTGTCCTCCGCACTGATACGCCATTCGCAGTTATCACCTCCACGTTTTGTTCAGCACTAGAGTTACGTGCCGCGATACATAACACATTTATTGTTAATATCTATTCTATTCGTTTATTCATTATATTAGACGTCTGCCTTTGTCTGGTTCTAGGTAGTGAAGCTCCGTATACAAAATAGTAACCTTTTTAAGAATCTACGAGTAAATGCAACTGCGTTATTACATCTGAGGACTAAAATGGAATGCCTAGTTACCAGTAAAAAGGCACTCCGGTTCTCTACACTCATCGTGACAAACACAACACTATTATGCTGATAATTCACGATGATATTCTGCGAGAGGGTGATCCTTTCCAGCTCGAGCCGACCTATTCCAGCTGCAGCCATTATACAACTGTGTGACTCCACGTAGAAAAAAAAGATACTATTTTTATACCGAATTTCGGACACGGTAGTCAGTCTCACCTCAACGGAGACTAGGCACCAATTTGGATACCAGTGCATAAGTTTGTGCGTAAGCATATGCAGACTCTCTATCACCTTAATCATATAGTCCGATGGCAACGTTTTTCGTGCTTTACGAGGGACGGGGAATAGAGAGCACAAAGTTCTTTACACCAGGCTTCTACTGCGAATTTCATCGACAGAAAAAAACTATTAACTAATTTTGGCTTAACCGCGATTCAAATCTGGGACCACACGATCAGCCAGAATATGAACACAACAATAGTAATGAGGTAGTCATGTCACTGCGTGTATCATGTATTGTACTCACAATATCGACACCCTCCACGGCGCACAGCTTGAGTGCCTGGTTCTTAGCGTCGAGCGCCACGTTGACCATCGCGCACGTCTCCGCCGGCAGGATGTAGTCCGTCGACATGAACGTCACGCTCTTCTTCAGCCAAGACTGTGAATAGAAGATAACGGTGACGACAAATTTTCTGATACGGCTGTTACAGTTACCGCTACTTCTTATTAAAGTCCACTGCTGAACATAAGCCTCCCCCATAGATTGCCTCATAGAAAGGTTATTTGCCACAGTTGCCACGCTTGGCAAGCGGGTTGGCAACCGCAGTTTTTAATTTTTTGTCGTTATTAGGAAGACGCTGCTGCCCATCGACACGGTAGTGCATATTTTTATACTGCCACTACACGGTATGGCTGTATTTAAGTAGCCATGGTCTATCTGATACAAGTTTTTTTTTATAGAAGTAAGAGTGACAAAAGACAACTCCACTAAACGACTTCTCCACCCGACGCTAACAAATGCTGCGACCTATAGACATCTTTCATGAATTAAGTATGTAAATGTAGATGCTTTGTTAATCCTGACGAATTTTATTAACTATAATATTAAAGTATGAATTTATTCAAAAGTTTTATAAAAATGAATTGACAAATGACTTTACAGCATACCTGATAGTTAGTGACTACTGAATCCTATTCAAACCTTCTACCAACTTCAAACAAAAAAGGCTACAAATGCGTTGTCGGTTGTCACCTCTGAGGACTATGATGGAATGCCTCACAGTGAGTATTATAATGGCCCTTTACAGCCTTTAGACCGGAACAGAACCGTGCAAGTACTGATGCTTAGTAGCCAAAATAGGTGAGAGAGTAATACCCAATAAGACCAATAGGCAGGAAGGCAGTCGTACCAATTTACGAATGTCACTTTACTAATAAAAAAGAGTTCCAGTTCGTCATTCACTATGCGAAAAACCAGCAGCATTATGTTGCCATTTTGTGTTGGAACTTTGTGAGAGGGTAGTTTCTACTATAGTAATAATTCATACACCCCTGTGTCAAATGTAATGTTGCACGCTATAATTAATTAGAAAGAACTTTACCTAGTCAGTCGGGACCGGTATGTACTCGAACATTCTAGATGTTTCTACAGTAGAAGGTTCTGGAATTGCCTGTGGCTCTATATTAGGCCGGTATAGACCGCGACCCGAGTCAGTGTTTATTGACGATACAAACGAATACTTCGAAGCGATACAACTGCGAACTAACGTGATCAGTAGTACAATTGTGTTATTAGTGTAGTTTTAAGTCGTAATTAGTGTTCTGTAATTAAACTGTCAATTTTGGTAATTCAGTCGGCAGTTTTTAAATGTCTCGAGCCCTAAGCTCGTAACAGTAATATATCTATCCACACGGGTAAGCAGTGTAAAATGTGCGAGACGTCTGGTAATATAATGGCCAATCCACTTTCCAAGATGAAGGTAAATTCTCCTTACAACGCGAGGTACCTATGTCAAGCAGTGATTTGATACTGCTAATAAGCATCATCTTACAAACGTCCCACAAATAGACATAAGCCTCCTCCCATTTTAGAGAGGTTTTTTTTAATAGGATAGGGTGACAAACGAGCACACAGTCCACCTGATTGTAATTGGTTGCTGTGGCCTATAAACATCTACATCTATCCTCGATTACGAATCAAAATGCAGATGCGTTGTCACCCGTGAGGATTAAGATGGAATGCCTCGTTTCCAGTAAAAAGGTATTTTATGAGAGCGTGGTTCATCCCCGGTCGAGCCGACCCATTTTTGCTACAACTATACTACTCATGTATAACCCGTTATACGTGCTGCAGCATGGCTCTAGCACGTATAACAGGTTATAGAGCAGAGTAGAATCCACCCGCTCTAAGTCGGGATACTCTTGTGTGTATAATTTCCACCTAAACCTAAAAGCCGACTTTATTTTAGCATATAAAATATACAGTCAATTATCAACCTGGAAAGAAGATTCGGTCCTCTGTATGCAGGTTTCCATCATGTCAGAGGCCATCAATTTCAGTCGTTGCTCGAGATGTGAACGGAACTCAGGTTCCGGCCAGTGCAGGTCTCGTATGAAGCATTGCAGCGCGTCCAATTTCCAGAACAACTCCTCACTGGTTGAGCAGCCATTGCTAAACAGATTATATAATTAATAAATAAAAATGTCCTGCCAATTAATTAAATTATGTATATGTAAATATGGATATGTAAATATCATGCTGTGTGGCGGCGGCGTAGATGAATCTATCACCTCATTTACTAAAATTCAATATGTTAAAAATTAATTAGCTAAGATCCGCGTAATAGAATAAAATGATGTATGTATAACCAAGTACGAAGAGCACCTCCCGCCCTCCCTCAATGAGGGCTAATCATCTTCCGCTCACCAGATGTCGCTAGTTAACACTGATGTGAAGTTTTTTGTTACACAATTTTAGTTTTACTGTACACAAAACAATGCTTCAGTCGTTTGTTCTTTAATTTTTTGCACATTTTCAACAATTTTTTTAATTTTTCTATTTTTATGAATATCTGTAGTTTGGTTTGTTTATTTTTAATCTAATTAATACAAAATATAACTAATGGTGCAGAAAGAAAAATTAAACTTTACATTTTTCGAATAAATTACCTTCCCCACTACGAAATCTGTCAAATATTACACCTCATTTTAAGTGGCGCCGCCCTGGTGATAGAAAAAGTCGTGGATGCCCTCATTGCGTGAACATTCCCCGTCATCACTAATCACAGCACCACTACTCCCAATACCACTACACTAGAAATGACACACTATCGTCGATAATATGATACGACACGTGTAGTGGGTGTTGGGATTAGTAGTGACGAGGATAGTGCACTCAATTGAGTGAGCACTGGAGATTCTCTTTAAACTAGGTAAGACACGTCATTTTATTTCATTACGCAAAGTAAGGCCTGATTCTATTAATTACCACATTTATCGTTCATTAAGTTTCGTAAAAGGAAATTGTGGAAATTGCCAGAATTCTTTCGGCTTCCGATAGATGGCGGTAGTGGTGGATCTTCACGTTTGGCAAACGGATCGACAAACGCAGTACCAGACGTCCCGAAACTGGCACCGGTTTTTATATTATACCACCATCTGTAGGCAGCGATAAAATCTTTCTGGTATTTCCTATTGTAAAAATGATAATATTTATAGAATCAGGCATTACTTTGCGGAAACCTGTTATATTAAAGTCCAGCCCTTTCAGCCTGGATCTACTGATGTGGCATTATTTAGATTTAAGGATTACCTTCAAACCTATAAAAAATCATTCATTTTATCAATTTATCGTGTTTTCATTAAAAAAGAAGTTTTTCGGATAAAATATAACCTAATAATCAGACCTAAATCCCTGAGAGAGAGCAATGCCATGGCATTGCTCTCTCTCTGTTCGTAAAGTTTAATCACAATCGATTCAGCCGTTTCAAGATCAGCCCAGACAGACATATAGATAATTTAAAAAAATGATTGTATCTTACTAGCAAATAACCTCCTGAGCTTAATAAAAACCAATTATTTCAATGAACAAACTGCCCTCTATATATACAAGTACGCTGGCTATACCATACAAAATGTCTGTGCCAATTTGAAACGCCACTATTTGTCGTCTTGAGAACTAAAATTGACATAATATGCCAAAGTCTATTGTCTTATTTAAAAAATCTGTATTTTGAACTTTTAAACTAAAAAACGAAAGTATTTTATGTTGTTTGATTGTGTATAATTTTAGTTACATAATAAGAACTATTTTTGATAATAATGAGAGTGTGCGTAATATGTAAAACTCGTTACCAAAAGGGAAGTGATATAACATTCCACAAGTAAGTGAATTTGCAGCTAATATTAAACAAGTTAAAACTTAAAACTATTTGATAATTTGTTAATTATCTTAATATCATATAATAACATCTTCATAATAATTACCAATATGTTTGGCTGTATATTACTGACTTTTGATAAACAATAAAATTCAGTAGGGTTGTCGAGTTCCTCGTCTATAATACTTATCGATGTTCTTTCCTACCCATATCTGTTAACAAAAAAAGTCGCCAGCAACAGTTAATTATCAAATGTCTATTAATTAACAGGTTTCCAACTGAACCTAGACTAAAATTATGGCTTAAAAGCATGTGGCGGCGCTGTCGTCGCGCCGCAAGCGAAACACACCGAAGCCTAAATCACGCTATCAAAATTCCGAATCATAAACAGTATATATAGAACATCTCCTAACTATCACATGGAGCGTTGGCCGCTCCCCGGGCATAACACCTTGCCCGGCGGGATATCTCCCCTTTTCCTTCCACGGCCAAAGTGGTGACTACCCGGCGTGATCTGAACACGCAACCAAAACAACCTTCGTTAACTTCAAGCTTCATCATCGTCATAGAATAAACCCACCCATTCGCTCCCGAGCAGTAATCGTCTGCAGTCTTCATATCCTGCAAGCCATCTAGCTTCACAAGGTTCATCGCATACTGGAATAATAATGCTTCCTGTTCCTTCAAGCTACTCTCTGCGCCATACAGTGTTCGGCACGGCTCTGAACCTTACTGCTCGCCTCTGCCTCACGGCACTCTCGCAGATTACTTGCCTTCTTCTCGACTCACTGCAGACTACAAGGCAATCTCCTGGCACTTGCACATTCGTCGGCAACGAGGCTGCACTATCGACCTCCGGTCTGAGCAGGGGGTGATGTGGCGGCACTGCGAGCGCAAGCGAAACACACCGAAGCCTAAATCACGCTATCAGAATTCCGAATCATAAACAGTATATATAGAACATCTCCGAACTATCACACGGAGCATTGGCCGCTCCTCGGGCATAACACCTTGCCCGGCGGGATATCTCCCCTTTTCCTTCCACAGCCACATATTGTGAATTGGCTTCCAAAACAAAATTATCATCTTTGCATTTTCTAAACATTTCACAGACGACTGTTTTATTAGACACAAGAACCGCACCACTTTGAGAAAGTGCAGTATACCGATAATATTTTCTAGTAGTATCAGTACCAGTAAGTACAAAAGTATTAGGTTATTGTTTTTTTATTTCTTCTCTTCTTATGTTCCTCCAAACTTAAGGGCCATAGCCAAGTGGAGAAAAATTGCCTGATGATGTCGAGCCACATTGGATGTATATGTAGTGGGCTGCGACTAGAGGAGATTCCTCTACCTGTACCGCTGAGTCGAGGTGGAGTCGTAAGGGAAGAGGAGTGTTGGTACGGCGATGTGCCATGCTATGCTCCGCGACTTTGGTAAGGCTGCGCAACTTGATGCTTCCAAGTGCTCGTTTTTTCCTGGCTCCATTCACATATCGGGCTCGGGGAGTCCGTAGTGTAGGTGCAGGTAGAGGCCGCGAAGGTCAATATGCCTTGTGTTTCTGGTGCGCCTTACATGAGGGGCTGCCATTAGGCGGCTGGCACTGGTTGGGCTGCGGATGTGCATGAAAGCGTTTCCGTAACCCTGCCAATTTGCGGCGGATGTAGAACACCATGGGTGTTTAATATTTAGTAACTGCGAATCTAGAGATGTCATTCTCTATCGAGTCTCGAGATTTAATTTGTGCTTTAACTGCGCAGTGGCCCTACTTTAGTTATTTTCTTATGAAATTTCTAATAGAATAGAAAATTCAAATTCTGGCCATCCTTTACATTCACGGTATTTGGCAGCTTCTCTTGCGTAAAATCCACCGACAAAGGCAATCAAGTGTTCGATCATGAACCCATGGATTGCGATATGTTAAGCCCCCCCAATATACGTGGCACTGCCGAAGCTGGTAAGCTTGGGAGGTAGTGCAATATGCATTGACAAAGGTGATCCGGATGTTGATCTCGAAACCATGGAAGGTGCTACGTTGCTACCTCCAGAATACATGGAGCTGCCTGAGATTGAGAGCCTGGGAAGATATTCTTCTTTTTTTATGTGATTTTTCTTTTTTTTTATTAGTAGCAAACCGTGGCAAATGTGATGTGCAGTTTTCTTGATTGCTGTGTAATGGTTGTTTATCAATATAAATTTTGTATATAGGTCCGAACACAAGTTGATACCGGGAACAGACTGTCACTTCAAAGAAGGTTTGGTCTATTTCTGAAGTATGTGATAATATCAAGCATGATCATCGTTATGAATACCCCCCTAGAACATCCAAAAAGGCATTGGAACGAGTTCAGAAAGCTTTGAAAGGCACAGGAGCTCGTTGTAAAAGTCCTATTGCAACATGTGAAACAATTAAAGGTCAGCATCCTTGTTTAAGAAATGTAATTATTAAATTAAAGGGAAGAAAATTAACTAACGATGACCGTGGAAATCTAATAAATCAGTATGACGACTTCAAGCCACAATTGTTTAAAAGGATGATATTAAATACTGGTAAAAATGTAAGCCGTGCCAAGTATCCCTCGGAATTAATATTTTTACTCGCCAAAAGCATACCTGTGGTCTATGTTCAGCAGTGGACTTGTTAAGGGCTTTGATGATGATGAATGATAATGACATTATATTAATATGATACATAAATAGAATGGACGTTACTGGTTAGAGGCCATCTATCCATAGAGTCCTTTTTATTTATTTAGGTATAGGTAGGATATAGAATTTTTGTCGATATATTTTGTCACACTGTCTTATCCCTATTATTAGTTCAGCGGACGTTCACTTATGGTATCAGCGCCAAAATGGCGCAAATCAAATTACCTCATTATGTCACGGTTTATAGCCAGTCCAGCGTACTTGTATATATATGTCAGTGAATAAAAGTCAGGCAATTCAATTTTATTTAAATTTATAGATGTTAAAAATTAGTTAGCTTAAGATCCGCATAATAAACTCTCCTAATGCGTAATCTTCTTAAGACGACACATCGAAAAAGTGGCTCCGGGCTAACGCCGTATTGATCCGAGTGAATACATAATTTCTGGAAAAACTTAAAAAAACGCCGTCATAAGCTCTAAAATTGCGTAGCGTTGGCGACGATTAAGACTGCTTAGAAATTGTCAGAATCTTAAAATATTTAAAAAAATTATTGATTTAAGTTATCAAAGTAATGAGTAAGTAAATTATGAATATTGATTTTATGAATATATTTGAGTGATTACCAAGCATATACATTAAGTAATTTCGTTGTAATTTCAATTATAGTGATTTTTAGAGGTACCTATTATCCCAATAATTATGATCGAGTCAAAATTTTACAATAGTGTTTGTAAAAACAAGCAAATTCGAGATAAAGACATGAATTTACCCATATCGAAATTCCACTTTCGTTAGTGGTATCATAGTCCTATACTATTCGATAAAAGAGGTGCGCTTTTTCGCAGTGTCGCCTTAAAATTATACAAGACCCAACATTTTATTTTATTACGCGGTTCTTAAGCTAATTAATTTTTAACATCTTTATTATTGTCACATGCAAAAAAATCTTTTAAATATAAGTTTACTTGCATACAAACCCTTTAATTTCCCATCGTTCCTTCTCAAATCCCTTGTGCAGGGACTGTGCTATCGACGACTCCATTAGATCGACGTAGCGAACCACCAATGGCGCGAAAGTATCGCGCAGGTGTTCGTGGAATCTACCGCCCTTTAGGTTCTCTGTATTGAAAATTGTTATTTAAAAAAAAACTCGTTATTGTTGCCATATAGCCTATCAAAAGTCTTCATAGATTGCCTAAAGGAATGAGTCAGTATGATTTCACCAGCCGATGGCGTGACTTTGAACTTATTGGGGGGTTTGTTCCCTTTTTATGCCTTTTGTGTTTATTTTCAGTGTCATAGTGGTGAACCCATGTTTTATCTCTGTAACTATCCTATCGAAAACACTTGTTGGGTCGTCACTACACCCATCTTGCACTGATTTTTGTGAGGTTGAGAGTCACGCAATATGGTGTGTATGGGCATTCCACAACAGCGCCACCTACAGGCTCCAACTTTGCGTGTAATGTTCGCGGAAGTGCAAGCAATATGTTGACAAAGTTTGACATTGCATAAAATACGAATAAACAGATATCGATTTTTATATACTAATAATAATACTAATGTCCTCCAGACCGAATTTCGTTCATGGCGGCCTGCCTCAACTGAGACTAGCCTTCGGCGCAGGACAGGATTATAGTGCCCAAGTGTATGCGCAAGCGCAGGTGCACTCCCTATTCTCTCACTCTCATAATCTAATGAGACGGTAAACCGACACGACCGAAAGAAGATCAGGCGCAGTATCAGCGGCTTTACGTACTTTCCGAAGCACGGGGGTGAGACACAGCCAACTTCCTGACTTCAGGCAGCTAGTGAGAATTTCTTGACGGAAAACTCAATAGATTTTTTGGCCCGACCAATTGGGATTCGAACCCAGTACCTCATGCTTAGCAGTCGCACTACTACAACCACTAGACCAACGAGGCCGAGATATATAGCAAGGTAGTTGCAACACTGTAGGCTATCTATCGAAAGCCAAAGCTTTTTAGTATTTTCGTCTCTTATGACACCTACAGTAAGAATTAGCGTGAGTTAGTCTTACACCGTAAACGCATGCCTTTTTAAATTAAAGATGTGAAAACGAAGTGGTTTTAAGTAGCCCACAACCCTGTAGCCCACATTATATTTTTATTTTTACGCGGAGCTTGGAATAGAAAACGTAATCATTGATTCCTTTAATCGTTTCCATTTCCTAAATTAATAGTTGGCGGAATACGTTTTGTGACAACGTTGTATTTTTTTAAGTGTGTTGATATCGCTTTTGTTGCAGTGTAACTATACGTTTTAATTATAAATCATGTTTGCTGAATGTGCGTTTGCATTTGCCTCTATTCCTTTTTTAAATTTATTTATGTATACACAACAACATACAAAAACAAACTTATAGTAAGTTCGTACAAAGGTTCTACTTTTTCCATGATTTGATGAAATATTCTTCCCTTTATATACAAAATAGTATGTTTGTACATCACCTTAATTTACATTGCTGTTGTAAATGTCTGTTTACAATTGCACAATCCATGGGCTTTTTTCAAGCCCTGGACGATTTTTTATGGAATAAGGGTGATGCACATTTCACTTGATGGGAAGTGGATGCTGTGACCCATAGAGATCCACATTTATTTTCGATTAAGAATCAAAATGCAAATACCTTGTCACTCCTAAGGACTAAGATGAAATGCCTCGTTTCTAGTAAAAAGGGTCTCCGGCATTGTACACTCACCAAACGAAATACATCGATATTAAGCTTTAATCGTTTCCATTCCATCAGTCAAGCTATAATTTAACGCTGGTATTCTGTGAGATTCGATTCGTGCTTCTAACCCGATCGAGCCGACCCATTCTTGCTGCAACCACCATATAGCTGCAGCGTGGCTCTACAACGTAGATAGAGAAATAATAATCAGTTACTGAAAAAAAAACCCTCACCGTCAGTCCGCAAATAATCATTCAATATCTGGAACAGTGGAAAAGAATCCCACGTGTCCGGAGGTTGTTCTGCCAACACGCGGTCCATGTCTACTCCGAATAGCGCCCAGAAGATCTCCGCGTGCTCAACGAGGAGTTCGGAGAACCACGCGAATGCCTGTTGAGGAGGCGGACGTGGAAGTTAAAGATATAAAAGAAATATGTGGCAGCTAACTTGTACTGGTTTGATTTAAGCAATTTTTTAAATTAATTTCAAAAAGATTGATGTTAGTTTTAGCTACAATTTGATAAATATACATTTGTAAAAAAAAAATTGAAATTTATTTTCCGATTAAGGGACATTCTTTAGGTACAGTTATGTTAAAAGAAGCCTAGAAATGTTTTCGAGTTGAGTTGTATTCCAATTATGTCTTAAAATAGTGTCTACCGGACAGCTCTGTCGGTTTTGGAAGTACAAAGAAATTTCTGGATTACTTTTTTATACAATGGCTCCAGATACAGAAAGACGTATAGACTGCGTTACTTATAGACAGTATCAGCTATAAGTAAGTATAACTAAAACTAATGGTGAAAAATTTAGCAGAAAAACTTAGGGGTTGTCTTAAAATCTTCTAAAGATTTCTGCTAAAAATATTGCCTTCATTAAAAACAGCGACCTCTATTGGCGAAGAGAAAGAGTCTATATATCGTGACAATGCAAAGCCGCATATTTCAAAGATAAAAAGTACAGTGAAAGTAAGGTTACTGCTTTTGTTTGCTTTACCTGGACTTAGGACTAGACCTAAGACCTAAGCCCAGGATTTAAATAAAAACACAACTATAAATATGTGAATTGGTATGAGTAGCCATTGTTCCCTGCTTAATATCCTTACTTTTCAGAGATATTACTCTGTAAGACTTTTATTTATTTCCCTTGTAAAAGAAATCAAATATATGGATTGGTTTCAGCGGCGGTTGAAGAATTTTTGGCAACATAAGACGAACTATTTAATTAAAATCTGTTAGCTAATAAGACAGACAGAAGAAAATCAGGAAGAGTATGTTATGGACTAAAATGAAATGACAGAACAAAAACAAAAACAAAAACCAAAAAAACTGTCCGGTAGTTTCAAGAGTTAAAGTTAAAATTAATACAACACATACAAATCTCATCAACATTTCCATGCTAATAAGAAAACTAAGATGCATGCAATTCCACATAAATAATATCACAAATTGTAAACTACATAATGGTTCATTTTCTTTGATCGATAACTCGCTCACATACACAGCAATCGAGGGCAAAGGTGGTATAACTGGGTTATTTTATGAACTGCCTACATGCATGCCTGCATGCATCGTTATGGAATATCAATCAACGAAAATGCACCTTTATTGTCAAACTAAAACTAAAAGTAGTTGAAATAGTTGAAGCATTATACAGAGTAAAATTATAACAACAAATTGTTTACATTTTCTATTGTGTCATAAATGTAAATCCGTTTCGAACATCAAGGTAAAACAAGTAAGAAATATAGAACTGTTTACAACTGTACTGAATGAAAACATAGATCGAATTGATTCAATAGCAGTCTACGTAAGCGACCATTTACTGTGAAGTGGTGTGAAATGTACTGTAAAGGAGATTAAATGAATTCCTGTGACTGATATCATGTTGTGTCTGACGTGCGGGATTTGGAATAATCATAGCAGCACTTTTCATTATAGACGAAACAGACTACGAAATCCCTGCCAATTCTGCCTATAAACGGAACAAGTTTCAAAAATTTCAGAAATTTTGAGCCCAGAATGAAAAGTTTATACAGCAACTTGGATTACCCGACACTCGCTCACGAAGAATCGGTATCAAAATTTAAAACTATGCATACAGTTAAAAGCACAATTTCTGTTCTTTCAAAATTAATACATATCGGTTTTATTTAATTTTGAATGACGTTTGTGATAAATTTAAATAATATCTGTACAATCACACTCACTTTTCCGACACGATCAACGTCTTTCAAGAATGACTGGCTAACAAAACTGATTGGGTATGCTTATTCATTTTTTTTACACATTTCATAGTTGTTAGTTTCGAAGCGGGGAATAACACGTAATATCCATTAATAAATTAAATCCAACACAATACAGCGCTAAATGTTATCGAGTGTCGAGTATGTGCTAGCAGTGTGAATGTAATTTGTATTGTTACAAAGCTTATTAATATTAAAAACAGATCACAGTTATAAATTTAGGAAGATTGCTAAAAAAGTTTTGTCATGCATAGCTTTTAATTTCGATTTCTATAAATTCTAAGCACTATCCAAGCGAGTGTCGTTACTAGATCGACTTGAGACAACGCCTCGCAATCAGTGATCAAATCTGAGTGAAAGAAAATGATGAAGACCGGGTGAATAAAACTGACAAGTGATTCGATCAGCCGAGCAATTAACCAAATCATGAGTAGTTACATTTTGTTGACCGCTAGAGTCCGGTTTTGTGTTATAAACCTGCGGAGAAATAAAAGATAAGATAGAAGTGTAGTACCAAAAGTTATATAGAGTACTTAGGACACATCCAAAATCGCCAAGTGATTGATTTAATCCTGTTCTTGTTTCTTAAGAATATAACAAAAAGAAATTTAAGTGTTCAGTTTTAAGACTAGATTTGCTAGATCACATATCATGTGTAAACTATTGTCAGTATTATTCAAGTAAATTTTTAATAAGAAATATTTTATTCGATCTAAAGAAAATTGTTTCACTTGGCGATTAAGCAACAAACATAAATTTAGGTACCTAATTCTTTTGATAAAGTTATCCCTCTTTTTTAAATTAAAATGTAAGAAGTTGATTGAAAGGACCTAGATTATGGATTATGGCGTTAAATTTAGAATTTTTTTTTCACTTAAGTTGTAGAAATATATTTTAATTAATTTGAGTAACTTGATCCTTTCAATCGTTCAAGACATGTAGGAAACGAGGTGACTAATAATCCGATTATTGCAGAATAAATATAATCTTATTCATTCGACTTTTTTATTAATATAAAATGAAATAAAAATAACTGTAAAAGTAGTAAAGTAAAGTTACAGGCTATATACGGCACAGGCCTCCCCTCATTTCTGAAAGGGTTTTAGGGCAAGGAAGTGTCCGCCGCGCTGCCCCAATGCGTGTTGGCGAACTTCACATGTCTACGAAATATATTGTTTTCTTATTCTCAGACATGCAGGTTTCCTCACGATGTTTTCCTTCACCACCGAGCACGTGGTAAATCAGCACTTAAAATTGCAATTAACAATTTCATTGGCGCCGGCGGGGATCGAACCCGGGTTACTCGCATTCTGTTATATTTACAGCGAGCGTTAACCATCTGAGCTACCACGGCTATATAAATATATAGCATATACAAAAATAACTGTACAATTCATTAAATAAAAAAACAAACTAGATGACTTTTCTGTCATCGTCTTACATATTTCTACGTTCTATTTGGATTTAAGGGAGTAAGATTGCAGAGAGTAAGATATTTAATTATCTAGACTCTCTCTCTAGACTTTATCTAGACAAGGAGGCGAGGGCTAATTTGTATGGGGTTAACGCCCAGCGCGGTCTGAGCTTGCTCTCCTACAGATTGAGATCCATGCTCGACTCAATTAAGGAATCACCGATCTTATGCATGATCTCAGATATCATGCGTCCACTACACACTTTTGACAAAAAGTATATAGTGGAATTACCCTCCAGAGAAGACTGGCTGAATGGCCAGGTTATCTGTGAGGTCGGTAGCCTCATAAGGTATACCGATGGATCTAAAATGGGCCTCGACGTAGGCTTTGGAATTTACGGGGAACGCCCCAAATTCAAACTTAGCATGAATTTGGGTAGATACACCTCTATCTTCCAGGCAGAAATTTTCGCCATACTTTGGTGTGCGGAGATCAATCTGCAAAAACACTACGTAAACCATATAATTTATATTAACTCTGATAGTCAATCAGCACTGCTAGCGCTGAGGTCAAATTTAGTGAACTCGAAGCTAGTTGGAGACTGCGTGAACCGTTTAAACGCCCTGGGATGTAACAACAGGGTCATTTTAAGTTGAGTTCTGGGTCACGAGGGTATTGTAGGCAACGAATTTGCCGACAAACTTGCACGGGAGGGCTCAAAGTGCACACAATTTGGACCTGAGCCATTTTGTGGAATCTCAAGAAGCCTAGCCCGATTGACCCTTGAAACTCTTTATCACAATAAATCACTTAAGATCTGGTCTGACACACCAGGCTTAAAACATTCTGAAACCTTAATCCGGACTTTTGATTGTAAATTCGCTTCAGAAGCCCTGGGATTAAGTAAAAATAAATTGCGCATTCTGGCAAGAGCCCTAACTGGATACTGTTGTCTTAAAAAGCAATGTCCATCCTGGGACTAAGCAACTCAAGGATGTGTCGGTTCTGTTCCATAACGGAAGAAACGCCTCTACACATCCTAACTGATTGCGGACCCTTAATGCGCAAATGCAACACTCATCTGAGAAACTATGTACTCCGCCCATAAGAAGTGAAATTGCTCACGGCTAAGCAACTCCTTCTATTCATTGAAGACATAGGGCTTAGCCGTGAACTATAGCCATAGCAGCGATCACAATAGATCTTCTAGGTCGCAGTGATACTGGTCTCTTTCCCTAGACCTGCATAGCTGCTCGCACTTAATAAAAAAAAGATATTTAATCTATATTGTTATGGGCGACAACGTATTTACACGTATATTACGTACACGTACAACGTATATTAACGTATTAACAATGTATATATATAGACATCTTTAATTGAAATGGGCTGTAGGTGTGCTTAGGATGTCATAGTAGAAGTAATAAATTTAATAATATTGACAGTATCGGACAAGATCATCTTCATAATCATAACAATCCTTCATAAGTAAATTGCTAAACGTAGGCCTCTCCCAAAGAATACCACAAAACACGGCCCCGAGCCACCTGCATCCATCGACCTGTTGCATGTCTTACAAGGTTTTTACTCCAACTATTGTCAATAAGTCAGATAAATTATTTAAGTCGGATGAATCTGGATATACACGTAATATCATCTAGATAACGGAGTAATAGATAACCTTTAGAAAATGTTGGTTACATTCCATTTATTTATTACTTTTTACTCGATTTCCAACATGCCATTGAGCTGTAAATATAATTTAAATAAAGCAAAAGGTAATAATGTATTCTTCTAAATAATTATTAAACGCACAATTAATTAATAAAAATATCTTCAGCTCATTTAACAAAACCAACAAAATATAATTGCCTGATTATTTCCCACACTAATAGCGATAGGACAGTAGGGTGCTTATTCCAGTGAACACAGACATTATTGTTTAGCAAAACTTTTTACAAATGTTTCGTGAAATATTAAAAAAAAAGAATATTATAGATGTAAACATATAAGACAGAATTGTAATTTTTCTATTTCAAATTTTATATCGATTATAATAGTAGGTGAAAAGTTTTTCTTAGTGGAATGCAACACCAAAAATGTTATTTATTATTTTTGTTAAATTATTTTGGATTAGTAAAAAGTTTTGCCATAAGTAAGTACCACGACATACAATATCAACACCAAATATTTGATATTTCGAGTTGTAAGTAGGTATCGCAAACTAAATTTTATATAATTGATTGTACATATATTTAAAAGCCCACACTTACAACTCAAAAATTTTTATTTGTACCAAAATCCCGCCTCGTATTACCTCGGCGTAATGTTCTTCATTTTGTTGCAAAAGGTCAACACACAACTCTGCGAGATGGATTAAGTCTTCTAGTTTCTTAGCTGGAGTCACCATTGTTTCTCCCCTGAGATCCTCTGCAAAAATATTATATAATTATTTTAAAACCTATATATTTGAATTCATCGTTAACCAGTTATATATTAGTAAAACAAAGGCCTGTATATTGTAACAATCAACAATATTATGGTAAAATAAGCTTTTAATTCATCTTTTGTTAATCACATATTTTAGGAATAAATGAACTTTCGATATTTTTGCGAAGAGACTTTAAAAATCCTTAAAGTTTTTAGAATAATATATGAATACTCATCAGCTTGGACTTGTTGAGTACATTCAATTAATTATTGTATTTAACATTTAAAACTTTTCTGTTAGAAAAATTTTTACAATCATAAACTATCTTCGAATTTGATAAGGCATTTGCTTGTTTGTATAATTCTATTTTTTATCTGAATAAGTATTTGTTAATGCTTGTATCGAGAAAAAAATCTGTAAAATAATTTAAGTTTATAAGTCAGTTAATTGTTAGATAGTAAGCAACTGAAATAAAATGTTATATCTGTAAAGAGCAAGTTTAACCCAAGGTTTCTTATTGTCACCGAAACTATTCAATATATATATACAAATATATATATATATATTTTTTTTTAAATAAATTGTTTTTATTTATTTATATCAAACGGTTTATAATTATTTTAACCTTCAATGTTAGCTTTTTGGCTGAGTTGTGTATAATTCAGCAAGGCCGCGTTCTCGAGGCTCGTTTGTATCATGGCTCGGACTTCTTCTGGTGCTACCGGTGTCACCACATCCTTCATTAGCACTCGCTCCAGTAAAGATAGTGTAGCCTGAAACAATTCAACTTGTAAATATTTTTAAAGAGTTACTTGTTTATCTTAATTAATTTATGCTCACAGCATTTATTTTTAAGCACGTCTTCATATGGTAAACAAGTTGGCAAACGTTGCTCTGCACCTGTCGGAACATGTTGTGATGATTTTTACTCCGAATCCACTTAGGACTTCTTACAGTATAAATATAAAATTTATTAATGACTCAACCACAGCGCCTCTGCGCTACATATCGTGTTCAGATTTTGTGATTGCGTTTTTGGCATTAAACCAAGAAATTTAGTGAGTATGAGTCACTTTGGTCTTATTTTATAAGGCTTAGTATATCTACGCCTAACTGATTCTACCATAGCTATGACATGACTATTTTGACAAACTAATATACTCGTATTGTGTGGATAAGATCTTAACGGACTTCGGACATATCATTCAGAACTTACACGAACACTATCCACTAATAGATGCAACTAGAATTATAATTTATAATATATACCTATAAAGGTAATTGATTGTCAAAATCATTTATTACGTACCTATTGCTGTTTCAGGATTGTCGTAAAATGCTATCATCGGCATAAAATTAAGACCTATACATATAAAAAGAAGGGTTATACATTTATGGGTCATATACTATTTGATCCCACAAAATATCGTTGTAATATTATTATGTTACAACACATAATATCGTTGTAATATTATGTGTTGTAATGTTATTAAGTCGGCTGTGGCAGAATACCAGCGGTGACCTAAAATCACCACATAGCTGAGTCACAGGCCAGTTTGTCTCATTACTGTTATGTTACTGTATGTTTCTAAGTTAAGTTTATAATGATTTCTATTTGTATTTTTTTAATAACATGTGTAAACTGAGACAAATAAAAAGCTTTATTATTATTATTATGTAACAAAATTACGTAATAAGAATTGTATAAAAATGTTAATAAGTAAGCCCTTAAGCAATGGCCAATTTACTTTATATACGTTCATATTTGTAATAGCTGTGCCCGCGACATCGTTCGCATATAATTTCTAATTTTTTTTGAAGTTTTATTTCTTGGGATTATTGATTATATTTTATATACTACATTTCTGTTTCAACTCAAACAATAATGGTACCTATTGATAATTTTTGTACCTATACGGAGTAATTTCGTCATTATACCGATTAAGTGCATGGAAGATAAGGAGGGAACGAAAGTTCGTTTGCTGTACAGTAGCGGCGTAAATTAATCCATCACTCCACTATGCACTATCACACCTCCTGGAGGTGTATGTAGTAAGAGGCGACTATGGGAAACGCCAGAAAAATGTAACGGTTTTCGATATATGGCGATATAATATATTTCGATAAATTAATACAGTAGAACGTCGATTATCCGAACGTCGATTAACCGAACGACCGCTTAACCGAACTGTTACTTCGGCACTTCATTAGGATGCGACCACCTTCTTGCTTCTCCACGCAGTGTCCCGTGTTGGCCTACGTTCAGTACCGATAGCGCTATACGCGTATGTGTTAATTTTGCACTATTAGTTCACAATTTAAAATGCCTAAATGTAAACTTTCCATAAAAGATAAATACGAGATTAACAGACGATTAGAGAAAGCCGAATCTGCAACTAAGTTATCTAATGCCGGCTGTACACGCTCGTCGAGACACCACGAGACAGGCCTAGAGGTGAGCGTTATTTAACATTGTTCTTAAAACTTTTTGCGTTTTTTTAAATATATTATAACATGTATAGTTTGCTTTGTGAATAAACATTTAAAGTGTACCTATATAAATAATGATTTCTTAAATTTACGCGAACACTACACATTGAATAAAACTAAATTTACGGATTTTATCGCGTTTATTTAACTGATTTTACTTATTTTTAATCATCAGGGAATCAATATTTATTTACATTAATCATAATATAACACAGTTAAACTAATATTATAATACCTATAACCTGTTATTATTTTCGTAATCATAACATAACACAAACGCAAAACTAACCTACGTTCTACTGTATACAGATGTAACTAATTACAAAAATAAGCAGTTTTGAAACTAGTTACTCATATCCACGAAAGTACGTACAACCGATTACGTCCAAAAGACGTTACGACCCATGTCAGGCCGAGTACGAATGTGTACAGGTTGCTCTCGTCGCGTCGCGTCGCGTCTCGTGGCCCTCGTGCGCTCTCGGAAGCATGTCGGTTTTTTGCGCTCGAGTCAAAGGGTCTCGTAGGTATCGCGATGAAAACGAGAGCGAATGATGATATTATTACTTAGCGTCCACTGCGCATGTATAATCAAGCAGAAAAATGCAAACTGTATTATGACATTTTAATATGTAAAAAGTCAAAGGTCCACATTATAACTACACATCAAAGTCTCCACGAAAACGCACTTATATATAATCGTTAGGTTTTAATTACTGCTAAATAATATTCTGTATTTTGTGTACACTTAATTTTGTATTTGTAATTTTTGTTTTGTCTCAAGACGATATACGTGATTTTATTGTTAATAACTTTTTTGATGATAATGTATAAAGAAGTGTAATACACTGTTAAAAAGTTTATTAAATACAGTGTTTAATTATGTTATTGTTTTTTTTTTAATTTTATTTAAAATATATATGTACTTAAATTTATGAAGAAACATGTGTTTTTTCCGGGACTAGTTGAACCTCTCTTTTTCCTTACATAATTATAATCATCTTTCAATAGATCCTGCTAATTTTTACAAATCTCATAAAAAATTTCATACTTTTAATACCGATATCAATATTTAAGTCTTAAGTGCCAGGTTTATTGAATAATTATTTACTTTATTTATATATTTTTTTAAATATTGTATAACAGGTAGTCGCTAACACTTTCGATATCGATAGTACGCAAGACGACACAAGTATGTGCGCGGGCGACTGGACGCAGGCACGGTAATTTTATCTATACAGTATTCCAACTTCATACAAACGGACGAAGCGAGAGCTATACCTACGCGCTTCGATCTCGGCATGCGCTCGGCATGCAGACAGTCGAGACTGTGCCGCAGTGATGATTTTGTGTAATATAATATATAAAAAATGGAGGAAATAAATAATAGAATAGAAATAAAAAAATAATAAATGCGAACTTCATTTAAAACCAAACATATAAATTATAAAATATCTTTTACTTGGTTATAGATACCTCTTTATCCAAGTAAAAGATATTACTTTTCTCCACCTTGTCCATGTTTCCCAAAATAATTTTTAATTAAGCTTTATATTATAATGCGGATTTTTTATACTTAAAAATTTAATAATAAAGTAATTCGTACGTCTCAGCCGAGGCGCAAATATTTTTCGGTCGCAAATTCATAAGACCGATTTATTATTCAAACATAAACATGGTTTTTTAATTAAATCTACCAATCAAAAAACGATACGCATTTTTATTGAACACTTCCTATTGAATTTTCAAAGTACCTATTATATTTGATTATGTAAAAAAAGTATATTTACAATCATAAAACTAGATGGAAACACAAAGTAGGTAAATGTAATGCTGAAGGCAGGCAGCCCTATTGCATGTTTACGTACCGCGCTGCTGTAGGCATTTATTTCAAAGATACGGCCGAGTTACAATACTGTATAGATAATATTACCGTGACGCAGGGAGACACTACGTGGGGCTAGCGCGTAGACCGTTGCTATGGTTTCGCTTCCGCGTAAATCATACCGCACCGCACTGTTCATCTTTCGTGGCGCAAGCCGCAAGCTATACATTCACCGTACATGGTACTGTTACGATAAATTAATAGAAACTATCCACCATCTCCTTCTCAGCAATGGGTTATTAATTTTATTTTTAGTAAATGTGTAAAAAATTATAATAGCTCAAAGGCAAAACGCAGCAACAGTTTTATCTAGGTCCATCTCAGCCGGCATATGGAGTTCAAACTTCAAATGATACAACGAGTGTGTACATGGTGTGTTCTCGTGTCGAGCCTTTACGTGACGAGAGGCACACGAGGCGACGAGACGAGCGTGTTCAGCCGCCATGAGCTACATACATCTAGGATTGCCAGGTCTTTAAACCGAAAAGCCGAACAGACCATCCAGCTTAGCCGGACATTTTGGTAATATCCACATTTGCGTGTAAGCCATTACCTATCCCGAAGGGCCTCTTTACTCTCGTTGTGCGAGTCGTATATCGTGTTACGTACCTATATTCATCTTAATAATAATCTGTTCAAAACGAAACGCTTACGCGAGCGCCGGTCATTGTGTGTGTCAGCTGCGTATGTACGTAAAATAATCGTTACATTTTTGACCACGAAACTGGATATACGATTATAAGGCTCGTGAGCAGTTTCTGAAACCGATTATGTTAAATAACGCTCACCTCTAGGCCTGTCTCGTGGTGTCTCGACGAGCGTGTACAGCCGGCATAAGAAGTGCAAAGTGGTTAAGTCGATAATTACGGATATAAAAACCAAAAGACAACAATATCCAATTCTATATGCAAACATGATTTTACCGATGGGTCGACAATTTGTAAAACGATGAAGCTCGCCACGAACACCGATCTCGATGACGCTGTTTACAAGTGATTTACACAAAAAAATCACAAGGAGAACCTATTCTATGATGCCGCTGTATGTGAAAAGCAAAACATTGAAATACTTGAAGCGCCGTCGAACTTTCAAGCACACACGTGAAGGCATTCGTGAGCTTGAAATACTGCATCTGATTTCAAAATCAAATTAAGTGACGTATTAAAACAAGAAAATTATGTTTCAGAAAACGTTTACAATCCTGACGAAACTGTACTCATTTGGAAGGCTTTGCCACGAAAAACTCTTGCCTCGCGTCGTGAATTAGCGGCACCTTGTGCAAAGTTAATAATCGTATCAATGCTCTAGCTTGTATTACAACTGTAATAAATTAAATTTATATTACATATTATAAATATGTTTTATTAGTATATTGTTCACACAATAATATAGTTAGATTATCCGAAAAAACCGGTTTTCGAACCGAACCCTACGTCCTCCCATTAATTCGGATAATCGACGCTCTACCGTAAATAGGTATAAATTTAAAGAGAGATGGCGCTGTTAACATCAATTCAATCGTTCACATAAGAAAAATTTCGACGCAATTGATACATTATATAAAACATACTAGAACTTTTAACTCAGTGCCTGCTAAATAAATCACTCCTACAGTAGCATAGGCAAAAAAAATAATGAGGGCAAATAATCTTACGCTCACCAGATGTCGCTAGTTGACATTGAGGTAAAGTTTTTTGTTACACAATGTCCTTTAACTGATAATTTAGTTTTTAATAAAAGTTTATCAGTTTCTAGTGTATTATATTAATACACAAAACAATGCCTCTGTGATTTGTTATTTAATTGTTTGCACTTTTTTAACAATTGTTTTGATTTTTCTATTTTTATAAATATCTGTGTTTTGGTTTATTTTAATATAATTAATACAAAATATAACTAATGGTACAGAAAGAAACATTAGCCTTTACAATTTTCGAACAAATTAACTTCCCCACTATGAAATCTGTCAAATATTACACCTCATTTTAAGTAGCGCCGCCCTCGTGGCGGAAAAAGTCGTGGATGCCCTCATTGTTTAATGTACCTTTTAAAATTTAATTTAGGTTACTCAGCGCTAGAGAAAACATTTTAAGCAAACCTTCCTGTTCAAAATTTTATAAATTAGTTTGTCAACACGCAGTAGGGCAGCGAGTATTATAAAATCAGCAGCAAATATGATGTCACATCTACGGGAAAGAAAAACACATCCTGCTTTTATGTATTACAGCACCATCTATCGATGACATTGGTTAACTATTGTACTTTAGATACTAAGGTTAATTATATTTTTTGTTTAAATTGACTACGTTATTCTTCCTTATTTTTGGTTACTGCGATTCAGATATAACTACATCGTTATGGAAAATTATTTTACATCATTTAATTATGATTTACGATATAAGATTAAAATGCACTTGATGACTAAATACCGCCATTGAACAAATTCGTAATTATAATTCGTACCCATACTTCAGAATATTAATCACAACTTTTGATAGAATGAACTGATTTTAATAAATCAAAGACTAAATTGAACACAAGGATATGCTTTATAATTTCCTCACTAATTGTTTTCATAAATTAGCACTTTATACGTGATACGTTAACAAAAAAACAGACAGACAGATAATTCTTAAAATGGTAGAAATGTATTTATTTAGCTACTTATTTTTAGCCCCCCCCCCCCAATCACTTTTATTACAAAGTTATAAAATGTAGACATCTGCAATTTAAATTTTTAATATATGTATAGATACGCCTATATAAGTATGTTTACGCATGTAGTCTTTCCCATAATCACTATAAAAATGACTTTTGATCCTATTTTGAATATGATGCAATTTAAATTAATGGAATTTTGTAAATATGAATGGTTATGTATGTGATTTCCATTGAGCTATTATGTACTACGTACTAGAGGAGACACTGCATTCAGCTACTCTGTTCCACTCAACTGCGGTGCATGCACTGCACTTTAATCAGTCACTCGCTAGGCGCTTGTAGAGTTGTCACGTGTTGTGTTGATTTAAAAAAAATCTCTTGATAAAAATATGCCGTCTTGTGTACTTAGATATTGCACAAATAATTCAAGAAATGTCAGTAAAAACCAAGGAATTACTTTTCATCGGTTAATAAGATACTTATTCAATAAAAAAGTATTATAAATTAATAATAAAGCAAATTATTCCTAAGACGCCATCTCGTATCATTGAATATAGATTATGAAATTAATATGTTCAGATGCGACATTTCTGTGGGTACTTAAGTTTAGGACGAATATATTATTATACTAAACATTTTTTTTGTAGAAACATATAAGTTATTATAATTAAGCTAAATTTTTCATGTTTAAATCTGCTTATTATTCTTTTATTTTATTTTTAGGTTTCCACTTCAAAGTCAAAGTGGAATAAATTCGTCCATTTTTAACTCTCGCGTGCCCAGCATTTATGAACGATTATTTACAACATTTATGATTCTAATTTAAATAAATATATTTGTAATTTAAATTTTATGTTAATAAGTTTTGTTAAACATACATTTAGCACGTTTTTTTATATTTGACATAGATACCTTTTAAAATATTCAGATAACAATATCATCAAAATGTAATTCTGACATAATATTATGTAATATTATATTAAATTAGCACATATACAAAATAAAAAACAATTTAAAAAATTGTAAGTACTCGATATAATTAACAATACAATATAAATAAACAATTATTACATACTGACCATTCTACTTACGTATAATCTATAATAACAAAAACTGACCGCGCAAGCGCAAAGCGCGTTTATACCAACTGCGCATGCGCGACTCTACTATTACCGCGCATGCGCGAAGACATAGAAGTAGCGCACAATTTTTGTTTGGAATAGCTTCTCTAGTACGTAGTACATTATAACTCAATGGTGATTTCTAATATTTTTTTTAACTTGTTGTATGCCAGTACATGACCACAATGTTACCCTAAAAAATAATTTGAACGATCTAAGTCTTTTTCTGATATTTTTCGAACTTAAATACAAAAATTATAGAATATACTAAAATATGCTCTTTAAGTTCCGTTTCTGAAACTATTATAGTAAATAAATACATTATCTTTTCACAAATTAAGATGTAAACGTCATTTATATACATAGGGTGACCGATATTTTTGCGATATTTATTACACCGCGGGCTGGGGTTGCGCTAAATACCTTCTGCTATAGTACAGTAGGTCTTTAAAAGGACTCAGTCTTGTTTATCAGAACATAACTTACCTCAATGGATTATAAAATAGAGTAATGCATTTCCTCTTGACGGAAGGACAAAGATATACCTTTTTTACTGGAAACGAGACATTCCATCTTAATTCTCAGGGCTGACAATGCATCTTCATTTTGATTTTTAATCGAGGATAGATGTAGATGTCAATGGACCACAGCATCCAATTACCATCAAGTAGACTGTGTGCTCGTTTGTTACTCTTATTCTATAAAAAATACGTAGGTTATATATTGAGAAAATCACGCGTATCATAACGACATCGATTTTCAAGAGAGAATCATGATTAAATTACCTTAAGCGCGCCTTCGGGCCTCCCAAATGGGAACGCGTATCTGAAGTTGGTGATCTGATCCTGCAGCAGCGTCTTGAGGCGCTCCTTGATCTCGGCGAACTTCTCCTTTTCCTGCACGGTGATGCTGCCTACGCCGTCGGGCCTGCCAGGCAACGTGGCCGTACTGTGAACCACTCACGCTGTGGGTCTTACTCTAGTAGGGCACAAGCAGGATAGGGCCGGACGTGGTGTTGGCGGTACGTTTAAATAACAAAAGGTCATCCGAAATAATATGTAGTTTATATAATTGTATGTGTGTAAATAGGTAGCTTTTTTGATTATTTATGAACGCAGTTGGTTGCTAGGCTTTGTTCAACACGTCCACTACAAAATGTTGATAAAACTTTTGATGACAGTTTTAATTTACCTTATTATTTTTAAGCTATTGCATAGTTTCTATTGCGGGCCTTGAACGCGGGGACCGAATCCAGAAATTCCGTAACGAAAAAACCTCACGCTCCCCCACTCCGACGGGCACGGAGGTGTGGCGTTGAAAGCCGTGCATCGTCTAACGTCGTTTCAGTTCGGCAGACTTCGGCACTCGGCAGACTTCGGCACTCGGCAGACTTCGGCACGGTGTTTGTGTGCGTGCGACTAGACGTATGCGTGTACACTAGCTGCTAACTCAATGATAAAAATTCCTGAATAACCTACATGTATTGTAAGATATTAAAAATATTTTAAACAATATTAACTTCTCATTTATTCAATAAGAGAAAAAAAATTGTTTTATTATCGGTCACCACGCTCAAAAAGTGTAACTTGATTTAATATCAAAGACTTAACTGCATAAATAAAATAAATAAATAATTATAATTGCATAAGTTGATAAAAAATGCTATGCAATAGCTTTACCGCGGCAGTCACCGAGTGCCACACGTATTTTTTTTGTTGATTTTATTACTATTTTCGTTAAACAGTATTTTTTCTACACGGCAATAAAGACCTATGCGTTGGAAGGCACTATAGAGATCGACTAGCATTCCTGATTTAATGACTATATCGTCTTTAAATCAAAGGTAAGTGATGTATTAACCTTTGATGCTGATACAGTATCCTTTTCAGTCCATTACCGTAGTTAAAACGTTTTCCAATCGGTGACTAGTTTCGAGGATATAAATTGACCATGTCTTATTTTGTACTCGGATAGCCATCATAGCCCAACGTAATACTTTAGCACTTCGTTAAACCAACAATCAAATTGGCACCTGTGAAGTGACTGTATGTTTTCCATACAATTTTCTAGTAAGTTGGTATGTGGTTTCTGGTATTAAAGCCTTTTTGGAAACCGGCTTGGTCAGGCTGCTGAAAATTATCAAGACTACTAAAAAAAAACTTTAATTACCGGTTTCCTAGGTTGCTTTCAGAAGCTCCACTGTAATTTCATTTTCGCCCGGTTCTAACACCCTAAAACGCCACTTTGCCGTTTTAAGGTGTTAGAACGTTATTCAAGTCTCGCGCAAATTGTCTTTCGAGATATTATAGGAATAGTGTCAGATTAGATTTATCCTTATATCTTTACCTTACTCACAATTGTATGTGGCTCACTCGGTGTAGAATCTCTCAATATCACTCAAAGTTAAGTGTCACAGAAGTGATGCTACCACATTCAACTTCGAACACTTTCCAGCACATTTGATAAAAGCTTTGAGCCATAGTTCCGCTCCATTGATTCTGCAATATAAGCTGTATTGATATTGCGGAAGTCGCATGTATTTGGAGATCTATATTTTCGTTTGTCTAAAGAGTTCGAGTTCTTCTGCGAAGTCTAGCATAACTTAGCCACGACCGCACCGACCGCTTTTACGAGCCTATCCTAGGCTTGCTTCTAGGCATTCAGAACAATTTTGTGATTCGGCCAAAAGTTTTCTCAGCTTAGAATTAGTGCACGAAAGGGGCGGAGCATTGACTTCATTAATTATGACCCAGTAAGGTTTTTGTGTAACTCTCAACATTCAGTGATTCCTACCAGTTTTCTCCTTCGTGATCGTTGAGACATCACTGAACAAATGCTGGCTAGATGATTGTCCTATTAAAGTCAATTACATTTTCGTCGAACCTGCCGACGGTTCTGGAAGAAATCGTTTATTATAAAGTGTCCCATCTTTTCCTTGCAGTCGGTCAGCTGTATAGCCTCGGATTCAGTGGCCATATTCCACATTTTCCTATCTTCAACTCCATATAGCATATAGTGAAATTTGGAGGAGATTATGGCTCAAGAGATATCTTCATACATTTCCTCCACCTCCTCATTGGGAGTGAGGCGTGTGGTAAACACCAGCACGTGTATAATTGAGTGGTGCGTAAACCTGTATGACCTCCAACAAATTCCGTTTGATGATTCGGAGTACAAGGTACGACATTTATTATTCAATAAAATTTATCTTTCTTAAGAGGAAAGTAATAATTGGCTTCTTTACTAATCCAACTGTTGATTTCACTGTCAATTGATTTTAAAAAATAAATAGGTATTCAACATTCTCTATATTTATTTTATATATATAGATATTATAAAACAAGAATAAAGTCAAAGGATTTTCTAAAATCCTATTAAGCTTTCTAACTAGTCGGAATCGGTACGTATTCGAACATTCTACATGTTTCAGGTAAGAGGCCCTATATAAGGCTGGTGAGGACCGCGACCGAGTCATTATTGATTTGGCGATTTAAGCGCACACTTCGAAGAGATATAACTGCGAATTATGTTTGATTATTAGTGTGTTTTAAGTTCTAATTGGTGTTCGGTAATCAAAGTGTCAATGTTGGTAATTACTAGGTAGTTTTTATTGTCACGAGCCCCAAGCTCGTAACACTATTTATAACCATTTATTTATAGGATATTTAGTTACAATTTATTACAAATACTTATTTTTGTAACAAGAGACTCTTAGCAATAAATGCTCTGATTATTTGATTTTAATTATTAAAATAATTGGATATTTTCACTGTTTTAGTTTCCGGTCGAGGTATTATTGCACTATTAAGTACTCGTATAATCGAAATTTGTGTTGTACAGCCAACCCCACAGGCGGAAAATGTTAATAAGAATAACAGATTAAAAGTTAGTTTGCTAAGCATACACGTACACAGACACGAGTGTGAAGTAGGTACAGTTAGTTACATGAGTTTTTAAAGACTCAGTTAGAAAGGGACAATCTAAAACACATTAAGCCACATTTAGATATGGTGAGGTATTCTAGGGATGTGATCAATACACCAGTATTTGAAGCTATGTATATAATATAATAAAGTAATTTTTTATGTAATAATGAAACCAATTTTTACGTATTTAAAGCTTATAGTTTCTTATATTTTATATAAATACACTTTCATTCATGTATGCAACCTTTTCAGTTAAAGTAACAATAAAAAAACATTATTTTGCGTATAATATTTTATTCTATCTTATTTACATGTTTGATATGTCTATATGTTTCGTATTTATTTTATAAGTATTTATGTATCCAAACCAGATGAAGACACAATAAAAATACCTTAAATAGAAGCTGAACGTAATTCACCATCTTAATACCTGCAGGCAGGAGGTTTGCCTAAAGCATCATGACGTCATACATTATTGCGGCCATTGATAATACTTCATCATTATCATCATTACAGCCTTTCACAAGTATACTACTGAACATAGGCCTCCCCCAAGGTATGCCACAAAGCACGGTCCTGAGTCACCTACATCCATCGACTTCCTGCATGTACTTACCAAAGTTCATATAACTTATTCTCTAAATCTCAACCTCCCCCGGTATCACCATGTAACCAGGACGTCACTCCATCTAGTGAGGGATTCTCCATATTTCACCTATCGGTACGAGGCTGCCACTCGAGAATTTTTTTCCCACCAATTGCCAGTTCTTCGAGCTATATGGCCGGCCCATTGCCACTTCAGATTACTAATCCGTTGGGCTATGTCGGTGTCTCTGGTTCTACTGCGGATATCCTCATTTCTAAGTTTATCACGCAGAGAAACTCCGAGCGTCTCCATAGCTCGCTGAGTGACCATGAGCGTCTTCATACGGCCAGCAATGAAGTTCCACGTCTCAGATCAAAAAATTGTACAATCTCGTTTTCAGGTTTTGAAGTATACCTGCCGAGGTGGATTCGTCGTATTACTTGTGCCAGGTAAACATACTCTTCAACAAATTCGAACTTAGCGCTCCTAACAACTACCAGTAAAGAAGTGACATGGACATAATGCATGACTTTTGTTTTATCCATATTCATCTTAAGACTTATTCGTTGGGAGACACTGTCATTGACATTGTGGTATAACATAGGTCCTCCAGCAACTCTGCCATAAGAACTATATCTTCGGCAAATCGAAGGTGAATGATGTACTCGCAATTGATGTTAATAACGTATCCTTCCCAGTTCAGTAGCTTGAAAATGTCTTCCAATGCAGTGGTGAAGAGTTTCGGGGATATAACCGTCACTGGTAATAAGTCACCGGCTCTTACACCTCTCTGCAGTTGAATAGGTTTCGTACACTGGTTCTTAACTCAGATAGCCATTGTAGCCCTTCTGTACAAACACTGCAGCACTTCAATATACCGACAGTCAAGTTGGCACTCCTGAAGAGACTGTATCACCGCCCAAATTCCGACGGAATCAAAGGCTTTCTCATAGTCCACATACGCCAGGCAAAGTGGCAGACTATACTCTTCGGTATTCTGTACAATCTGGCGCAAGGTATGTATATGGTCTATGGTACTGAAGCCTTTTCGGAAACCGACTTGTTCGGGAAGCTGGAAGTCGTCGAGTCTGCTTGCGAGACGGTTCAAAATGACTCTCGAAAACAACACGTAGACGCGGCTCAGAAGGAAAATTGGTCTGTAGTTCTCCAAGAGAGCATTGTCGCCTCTCTTGAAATACAAGACCACGGCGGTACTGCTCCACGTCTCTGGAGTAGTACCACCGCTGAGGCCGGAATTAAAGAGCTTCTGAAGCACTTAGAAGCTTTGCCGTAATTCCATCTTTTCTTGGTTCTTTGCTATTTTGAAGGTGCTTGAGAGTCATAATGATTTCTTATATTTACGCGAACATTGCACATGATTAAAACTACTTTTACGGATTTTATCGCGTTTATTTTTACTTTTTATTTTTAATTCCCGACGTTTCGGGCGCTTTCCAGCACCCATGGTCACGGGGGACCCCCGTGACCATGGGTGCTTGGAAAGCGCCCGAAACGTCGGGAATTAAAAATAAAAAGTAAAAATAAACGCGATAAAATCCGTAAAAGTAGTTTTAATCATGCTTGAGAGTCATTATAATCTCGCTAAGACCGACGTCCAGGATATAATCGGAATAGTGTCGGATAAGACTTGCTCTTGGATCGTTACTCACACTTGCGTGTGGTTCCAACGATGATGTGTACAGCTGCCCATTGAACCTCTCAATCTCAGTTAAAATCTTAGGTTTACAGGAAACGATGCTGCCACACTCGGTTTTTAGTTGTGACAGTTGGCCCTTTTTGGCAGATAGATCTCTGTCAGAGGCATTGGAGCGTTGGTTTCGCTCGATCGTTTCTTCAAAACGAGCAGTATTAAAGTTGCGTAAGTCCCGCCTCATGCATTTGGAGATATGTCTGTTCAGTTGCTTATATGGTGTTAAATCTGTTAAAGACTGCAGCTTCATTTCCCGTCTAATAGTCATGAGATTAAGAGTGTGATTGGAGAGTTTTTGTGTTCTACGGTGGGTCTTGTAGAACTTAGTTCCGGGCCATGGACAGTTTCCACGAGCTTATCATTCATATTGTCCACTGCATTGCAGTCTTCTGGGCACTGCAAACGGTTTTGTAACTCGAGCTGAAAGGTTTCGAGACTTTGGATTAGAGCACGAGGGGGACGAAACGTTGAATTCATTAAACGAGACCTCTTTAACTTAACGTTTAGATTCAGTGAACCTGCCAGTTTTTACCCTTGCGATCACTGAGACATCACTGAACAGTTGCCGTCTAGTCGTCATAATTAAATCAATCTCATTTTTTTTAACCGTCGGTGCTCGACTAGGTCCACTTTCTATGGGGCCTCTTCTTAAAGAAAGAGTTCATCATAAAGAGTCCCTCTTTCTCCATGAACCGCCGACCAGCTGCTGGCTCCTTGGGTTCCGTTGCCCTATACCAAATTTTCCTACTTCCTGCTCACCGTCCTCTCTTGTGTCTAGTTCTGTGTTGAAGTCTCCCATTAACACCGTATAGTGGGTTTTGGAGGAACGCACGGTACTAGATATATCCTCATACGTTCCCACCACCACCTCATCGGGTGTTGATGCGGTGCGTAAACCCATATAGCCTTCAGTCATGTTAACGAATGACTTGTGGACGTTAAATCCGACAGTTCCTTAGGTCAGGTGGTCGTCCTCCCAGTGATAGAACGAGTCGCCGGATTCGTCGATCACCATGCCCTCACCCTCTCCTCGGACCTCGGATAATACTATAATATTCCAGCGCAACTTGTCTATCTCTTCTTCTAGCTACAGGATCTTCCCGTTAGTCCTCAGGGTGCGTGTGTTGTATATTTGCCAGGTCAATTCATTTTAGGTGGCAACCGAATATCCACCAGGCGGATTCTTAGTACTCCTTACCCCGCATTTACCATGGTTGCTACCGTAACCAGGAATAACGGGGCCGCCTCTTCGTAACTCTCATCATGGGTGGTATATTGCCATAGTTTACACGCTTGGCGAGCGGGTTAGCAACCGCAGTATTTTTTGTTTTTTTGTTGTACAATTGTTGTTATCAGGAAGATGATGCCCACCCCCTGCCTGTTTCCCTCGGTCGCCATTTACGACACCCTCGGGAAGATATGAAGTAGTGGATGTTCTTAACCGTCATAACACGGCACTAGATAATACTTATAATATTACAATATATATTGATTGACTCATTGCGTTGCTAGCGGTATCTACTCAGTAGACATATAGACAAGGACAACCATGGAATAGGTAGAACTCGGTCGGCATAAGTGGTAGAGGTGATTATCGGCAAACCTTCTGCACGCGGTTTATATTTATACCACTATAATATACCCTGCAAAGTTGTCGTCTTGGATGAAATTAGACTGAACTTTTAATAAGACAACTTTGTCAGTATATAAGTACAACTTGAATAAAACAATTCTAAAACCTTAAAATATAAATATATTGTAATAATTATACATAACTTAAGGAGAATTTTATTAATTTATTTGTGTTATAAAGAAATCATACAGATCGTCTGAGCTGACAATTTTCTTTTTTATACTTTCATATGAAAACAATGATCAGAGCTACTCTCTCACTCATTCGCTTGCTCTTGAATAAGCTTTGATCTTATTGATGTTACTCTAGTCCTCTTTTTTAATTAAAGGGTATAAAAAGCATTTCAGTTTGGGAAAAAGGATGTAAATTGACTAAATTACGCCACCTAGGGCTGAAAGTATCTTTACACATTTTGACAAAATGGCCCAGAATTTTATTGGCGCTTATTATCAAGAATGCTCGCGTATTATGAAAGTATCTAAAAGTAATATTGTCTTTTAGACAGACTTATGAAGAGTTAATAAGTTAATTTGTTTTGGAAAAATCGAAGTAGTTAAAAAGATATGAAAGAAGTTGTCAAAGTTATGACAAAAATATTTCTTAAACAGCTTAACATGGGACTTTTTAACGGGGATGGATAAACTATACCAGCCACACTTAGTGTATGCTCTGTTGGGCCGATCTAATCAACTCTTAATTATTTTTTTATATATTTCTATTAGTAGTTTTAGAAAGTTAACTTACCTAACACTGATAAAGATGGAATTAAGGTTACAGATACACTAAGTACATTTTCTAGAATAAATTATCAGTTGTGTTGCGTTACTCTAAGAAGACGACAGTAAAAAACGGTCACACTCACCTGTTACCATGGACATGGCTGGCGCAGAAGGCGAAGGAGTAATGCATGAGCGTTGGGTCCACAGTCTGCTGGCCACTTTCAGCTACATCGAGAAGATCGGAGAGGTAGCATAAGTGACGGAAACAGCCGCGTACCCCGTACCGAGCGCAGTACTCGTCCAGTACAAACACTTGCCCCGGTGAGAACCAGCCCTAAAAGTAAAATGACGTGGTTTTATAATATTTTTTTAGATAATATAATAGGCAACGACATCCACTTATCATTAGATGGACTGGTGTTAATCAGTCCGGACTCTGTGATAGTATTTTCCGAGCTAATATAGTGTTACTATGTAGCTAGAGGCTGGTTGGCTTCATCACTCCGCTTAATTTTATGAGGCTGCCACTCGAAAACCTTTCATCCCCTCTCATATACGTGATGAGAAAGTGTACCATCATCTACCGAACGCTGCCTGACCAATTTGCAATATCTAACATATCATCATCATCATCACAGTCTATAAAAGTCAACTGCTGAACATAGGCCTCCACCGTTGGTTGCCTCATGGTGGGAATTTTACCATAGTTGATACGCTTGGCGAGAGGATTGTCAACCGCAGGTTTTTAATTATTTTGAGTTGTTCAGGAAGATGCCGCTGCCCATAACCTGTTTCAGTTTCCCTCTGTCGCCTCTCACGACACCCACGGGACTATTTGGGGTAGTGGATATCCTTACACCGCCACTACACGGTTTATAACATATCTATCTCAATATTATATACATAAAATTGGATAAAATTTTGTTTAACCAATGAGGTTCTTACCAAGGAACAGTAAGGGTCCTGCAGACGGTACTTCAGCGTTAGAGACTGCAGTATGCAGAACAACTGGTGATGATCGAATTGACATGGGTCTGCCTGAATGTAGTCTTCCATGCCGTGCTTACGAGCCTTGTCCGCGTCTGAAAAGAAAAGAAAAATATTTTATACATTTAGGTACCGTGAAGAGGGCAACAGAATGAATCTACTATCCGAACTTTTGTGCGTGGTAGAGCCATGCTGCAGTTATATTAGTAGGATAGTTGTAGCACGAATAGGTCGGATCAACCGGGGAAAGACCACGCTCTCACAGAATACCAGCGTCAAATAGTAGCTTAACGCTGTTGTGTTTCGTATGGTGAGTGTAGAGAACCGGAGACCATTTTTACTGGAAACGATTCTTTTCATCTTAGTCCTCACGGGTGAAAACTCATCTGCATTTTGATTTGTAATCTAGGAAAGATATCTATGGGCCACAACAACCACTTACCGTCAGGTGGACTGTGTGCTCGTTTGTCACCCTGTCCTATAAAAAACATGCACAGCCAACTCTTTCTTGCCCTAAAATCGTCGGATCAATCTAAAGAAAATCTTAGAACTAAATCTTTAAAAAATCTTAAAAATTTAAATAATAGAACTTAAAAAAAATTTTAAATGGTCGTTTTCATATTTTTCTGTCCATGTTTTTGTTCTCACAAAAGCCACAACAAACAAAAACTTGCTTTGACTGCTAATTAACGCAGTGGCTTAGCGTGTGGTTTCGGCGCTACGGGGCTATGTGTTCGAATTCCACATTGAACAATTATTTGTATGACCTACAAATAATTGTTACGTGTTTGGATGTTTTTCGATGTGCATTTTATGCACGTAATAAGACCCACACCATCCATGACACAGGAGTAATAACCAACAAAAATACACAAAACGATCTTCCTTTCAGAAGGTTTTATGTGACTATTAACTATTAATTTTTCCATTGGCCAGTTTTTCTTTCTAATTTAAAAAAAAATAATGTCCTTCAGATCGAATTCCGATCCTGGCGGCCAGTATCAACGGAGACAAGCCGCAGGACTTACTCTGTGCAGGACAGGATAACAGTGCCCCAGTCTATGTGCAAGCACAGATGCACTCTTTATTCCCTCACTCTCATAGTGCGATTGGACGGTAATTCGACATGACCGCAGCGAGATCAGGCGCAGGACCAACGGCTTTACGTGCTTTCCGAGGTACAGGGGTTCAACGGCAACTTCCTAACTGAGGGTTTCTACTGAAAATTTCTTAACAGAAAAATCCAATAATTGATTTCGGCCCAACCCGTAATTGTCCCGGGATTGAGAAGTCCCATGACTAGCAATCGCGTTTACGGCCACAAAACCAACGAAGCACTCATTATAAAAAATATGAATTTATGGTCAAAAAGACCAAATATAAGTAATGATTTAAGAATCAGTTTCATTTTTTGATTCAATTACCTAATGTTATAAAAAACAGAATGATAAAAAAGTAGAATTAAACAATCCTGCACATACCTCCCATGATCTTGATATGCGTGTCGGAAGTTGTCGGCGGAGTCGGCTTGTGACTTTGACCCGTTGCCCGGTACAGAGCCATGACCCACAGGTGACACTCATTCTCATCGCCAACTCCCATCAGAACTGACTCGCCGTCGCGCACCGCGTTCATGAAATACTTCGCCCCTTCCAGTTCTGGTGATGGTTATATTAATGAAATTGAATTAAACTATATATACGGATTCTATCGCGTTTAATTTACTTTTTTTTTGATGTCCCGATGTCATAGTTTGTTCGGCTCCCTTCAGTTTTTAATATTAATTTTCTGTCCAATCTACGTAAAAAGTAAGTTACGCTAAAAATAACTTAAAATAAGTAAATTAAACGCGATAGAGTCCGTATATAGTACGTGAGGGTAATATGGTTATTCGGTTAATATGGCCACTTTTTTATAACTCAAAAACTACAGCCTTGTTGGCATAGTAGGCTTTGTCATACGATAGCTCTTCATCGGTTGCTCAAGTAATAAAGGGTCAAAGGCGATGCTTTATCGACGCCATTTTGACAGTTGACATAATAGTAAATATTTTAGTCGATTTTAGTATGGTATGGTGTTTTTTTTTTTAAGAAAATTTTTCGAGGTGTTCCTAATGATTGCCAAAGCTTGTTGACAATTTTTTCTTAATATATTAGTTATAGTATAGGACTTTGTGATTTTGTCTCCTGTCCTCCTAGTTTTGGTTTTATAGGACGGCAAAGCTTAAAGTGACCATATTACCCTAACGTACCTTATATAGTTTTATGCAATGTGTAGTGTTCACGTAAATTTAAGAAGTAGTTAAATAATAATGAAAGTTAATATACAGTACCAAGTACTAGTACAGACTGCTGAATTTAATACGGTATTAAGGAACTAATCGTTTTGATAACTGGCAGCACAATATTATTTAAATACATACATACATACATAAACATTCACGCCTGTCACTCAGAGGGGTAGGCAGAGACTACAGACTTCCATTTAGCACGACCCTGACATACCTCTCTCGCCTCTTCCACATCCATATACCTCCGCATACATGCTCGTCGGTTTTTATACTATCAGTTGTTTATATACTAAAAGTAAAAAGTAAAGAAGCCCAATGTTTAAAAAATAATTTAGAAAGAAAAACTCGACTCCGTAAAACGTTTACTGAAAAGAAATCAAATGTATGTTTAAATCCATCAAGCCGTTTAGGCTGCTGGTCGTACGGAAGAAATAGACATACATACATATATACATCCACTCGAAATACGTTACCCCCTTTCTGGGGCAGTCTATAGCCTATGACGTACAACTTGCGTAACGAAAGTCTAGCGGTGACCGTTATTGCGCATTATTGCGTGTGATTGGCTGTGCGTATCGTTCGCTCGCGCTCATTGGCTCTCCAGTCGCATTCCGTCCACGTACTGACACGACATTCACAGCTATCCCCTCCACGTTTCGTTCAGCGCTAGAACTGTGCCGCGAGTTATACCATTGCTGAAAAACAAGCATCCTCTCACGGAAAACGATTCCCATCAACCTTACACAATCGTAATCCATCCAATATGTACATTACTTTTGATACCTAAATATTAATGAAGAGAAAATAAAAAAAATAATATTAATATCAAAGTCTTACCTTGACCAACCATTAGTTGAGCTGTAATAAAAATATAAGAATTAGTAAAAACATAAATTTGTTTAATTAATGGAATTAGGTATTAAGTAAATCCATTACATTAAAGACGTTAAAAATTTTATTTTATTACGCGGACCTTAGCTACCTAGATTACCCAGTTTTTTTTACGTGGTAGAGCCACGCTGCAGCTATATTATAATTATAACACGAATGGTTCGGCTCGACCGGGGAAGGACCACGCTCTCACAGAATACCAGTATAAAATACCAGCGTAATGCTGCTGTGTTTCGTATGGTGAGTCGAGAGAACCGGAGATTCTTTTTACTGGAATCGAGGCGTACCATCTTAGTCCTCAGGGGTGACAGCGCATCTGCATTTTGATTCAGGATAAATGTGGATGTCTATGGGCCACAGCATCCACTTATGTAAACTGTGTGCTCGTTTGTCACCCAATGCTGTAAAAAGCTCTTTAAACTAGGTGAGAGACATCCACTTATTTGATTACGCGGATCTTAACTAATTAATTTTATTTCCATCTTAGTCATCAGGGGTGACAGCGCATCAGCATTTTGATTGAGGATAAATGTGGATGTCTATGGGCCACAGCATCCACTTATGTAAACTGTGTGCTCGTTTGTCACCCAATGCTATAAAAAAAGCTCTTTAAACTAGGTAAGAGACATCAATTTATTTGTCCTAATTTTATACCTTTCCGGTACCGTCTACTTCTTGAGTACCAACAACGTACCTATGTACACCTGTAATACATGTACAAGTACACAGATTCATTGACTGCAAATGTAACTTTGTAATTCTATATATTTATATGAGATTACAAACTTATTTATGCAGTTAGTGTATCTAAAAAACTGGACAGAAATTAACAAATCTTTTAGTTTTTCCTTGATTTATACACTAAACACTAATTATATTCTAAACTTGAAGCTTCTATGTCTGCTAGAAGTGCCTTAGAGTTTTGATGATCGGTCAGTCAGTGAGTGACAAAATTAAGAAATTTTGACTGGTTACAATTCCTAAAATGCTGGTTCAAATTGGATGAAATTTTAAATATACCATGTTTATATAATGCTTACTCGGTCACTGAAAATTCAGGCCTCTAGTTTTATTGACTACGAAGTTATAGGGGGTCGAAAATGGCCTGAATTGCTTCGAGAAAAGATGGTACGGCCGTGCCGCTTTTTTGCTCGACTTGGCGGAGGCACTGCCGTGCCCCCAGATAGAGAGTTTAATTACAGGCTGTTAACATTCCGTTTTAGTCATCAGAGAGAGAGACAACGTAACTTTAACCCTTTTTTGCTTGAAGTTGGCTGCAGATGCCTGTGGTCTAGAGAAGACACTTACCACCAGGTGGACTGCAGATTCGTTTGCCTCTTAGTTTTATAAAAAGAAATGGAGCCCCAATCGCACTGTATTCTTACCGCTAGCCAGCTCTATATAATCGACAGTGAAGCCGTCCAGTTGCATCATCTCGGCCGGTTCGGACTTCTTGTCCTTATACGAGCACAGCGCGAACGTGTACTGGCTCACTTGCACTAGCACCATGTAGCGTCGCTTCCACTTGCGCCAAACGTTCTTGCCGATTACGTGGAGGTATCTGAAAAGGGGTAGATATTCTGAAAAGTTAAAGGAATTGTCTGCATACATCCCACAGCCTCTTTTCATGTCTGAGAGGTTTTTGGTAGCCACTAAACCGTCACGATTATCCAGTGCATTTTGGCGGATTTCGATTGTGCTCAAAATGTATTGTTTCGGGCTTCTTCGGTTTATTTTCCTTCATCGTCGAGTACGTGGTTGACTTAATTCTATGCACTTTAAATTGCAAAATTAAAAAAAAAATATTGGTGTCCGCGAGGATCTAATCGCTCGTGTACAATAAAATTTACAAGGAGCACGTTATATTAAAATTATTATCAACCATATTTTTAACAGAGGAGCCATGTTGTAGTTATATTCTGGTTGTAGCATGGATCGGTCAGCTTGACCAGGGAAGACCATGCTCTCACAGAATACGGTAATATGGCGGCAGCTTAATGGTGCTGTGTTTCCTATGGTTAGTCTAGAACCGGAGACCATTTTTTAGTTTTAGGGGTGACAACGATATCAATTTTGATTCTTAATTACGGACAGATGTAAGTCTCTATGGGTCACAGCATTAACTTATCATCATACTGGACTGGACCGTGTACTCGTTTATCTTATATCGTGTTATAAATAAAAGTATGCCTTTGTCCAATAGTAGTAAGTTATACCCTTGCTTTGATACGTCAGACCGATAACAATCAGCTCAGAAACGAGAAGCCAACCGGTATTTTTCATTTACAGAAGAAGTGTTTATAAACGAACATAGTGTACTTGCTGGTAAGTGGATGTTGTGGCCCATAGACATCTACATAAATCCACAATAAAGACTTAAAACGCAAATGTGTTGTGAGAACTCAGATAGAGAGCAATGTTTTTAGTTAAAATGATCTCCAGTTATCCACACTCATCATACGAAACACAACAGCATTAATTGTTATTTTACGCTGGTATTCTGTGAGACGACTTTGTGTTACGACAGATTTAAGTGTCCACCTATATCTGTCATCGACTAATATTTGATTTCAGATGCGTTATCACGCCCGAAGACTAAGAAGGAATACTAGTAAGAAGGAATACTACTAACAGTTTACAATAAGTAACACAATAATTAACAAAACAAATTAGAAACAGCTTGGTAGCGATCACCTCATTACCAGGGGCTATTATCATCCATAAATTAAAACAAAAAGAGTTATTGTTTTAATTTATGATGTCATAATACCCCAGGTATTGCAGGTACTCTACCAATACTGTATCTAATTTATTCTATATAATTATTGTGTTACTTTAATGATTGTAAACTGTTCTTTTTATTAATTAAAAAATGTCCCGCTGGGTTTCTCGCTGGTTCTTCCCAGATCTGAAGTATTTTCCGAACCAGTAATAAAGGAAACATAAGAGTAACTTTCAATAAGTATTAATTATAATGTATATTGAATAAAAAAGTTTCAATTTAAATTTCTTAAAACGGTTTCGTACTCCATAAGTGAACAGTGTGCTAGTGATAGTTATACACAGTTATTTTTGCGCCTTGAGTTGATCATATGAAATAATTGCTTCTTACCCGCAGTGTTTCATATTAAGAGGCTTGTCCATCCGGCATGCAATTTTGATCCTCAAATCTTGATCTGGCAAGTTTTTTGGTACGGTCATTCGGTGCCATTCTGGAGCCTGTCCAAAATATTGAAATTATGTTACTAATATATAACTTTTATACACGGCATAAATGCGCCGTTGATACGCGTATTATCGAAGACTGCCTCGTTGATCTAATAGTTGTAGCAGTGCGACTGCTGATCATTAGGTCCTGGGTTTGAATCCTGGGTCGGGCGACAAAATTAATTATTGAGTTTTTCCGTTAAGAGATTCTCAGTAGCTGCCCAGAGTCAGCGTTGGCGGTGTCTCAACCCCTTGCCTCGGAAAGCACGTAAAGCCGTTGGTCCTGCGCCTGATCTCTCTCGGGTCATGTCGGCTTCCCGTCCCATCGGATAATGAGAGTGAGGGAATAGAGAGTGCATCTGTGCTTGCGTATACACTTGGGCACTATAATCCTGTCCTGCGCCGATGGCTAGTCTCCATTGAGGTAGGCCGCCGTGACCGAAATGCGATCTGGTCACATTATTATCATCGAGGATTAGGATTTTTAAACTAGTTTCAAAAATGAGGAAGTTCTATACTTGATAACAATGTCTTTTATGTATATTTGCCGATATCTCGGAAACACATAAACAGATTCAAAGGATTATTATTAAAGAAATAGTTTAGATAATATAAATATGCAGGGAAAATCCTACCAATAAGGGTGTTAAATTAGGGGATGAAGGTTTTAAATTAATTTTAGACGACATTCTATATCTTTTAATGCATTAGGAGATATTTTTTAGTCGAACCAAAGTCCTATTTTTAAACGTACCTTTAAAAAATAACTTCAAACACTAAAAATAATTAAATGACATCCGCATGATAGCTTCTAAAGTCGAGGCTTTAATTTATTTATACATATGTCTTAGCACCTACTTCAAAAGCAACTTGTATTATGTAGAGCTTATTTTTTCTTAGTTTGTGAAGTTGATTTTACTTTCGTTGCTTTAGCTGATTTTAAAAATTCGAAAGTGACGTCAAGAAAGTTAAATTTATTCAGACTAATATATGAGTTTTTAAAACTATTAAAAGACGCATTTATCCCACTGAAATTAACAATCAGGACGTTGAACAGGCTATCACCTGTAATATTACTATTGTCGGAATAACGGTCTCCCTCATCTAAGACCATGTAGGATAAAAGAAGTTACGTTTAATAAAGATATCTTGTCATACATTAGAAGAATAGAAACTGAATATAACTAATTTTATGGATTTTATCGCGTTATATTTTAACTTTCCTGATTCCCGACACTTCGGACGCTTTGCAGCTCCCATGGTCACTGGGGCAGCTAAAGTGTTCCACGTCTTGATGTTATAGTTCAAGAACACCAATTCTTAAGAAGTATGGATCCGCATTTTGAAATCAAAAACATTATGATTTCAATAGAGAAGATGGCTGGGTGCTACCATCTGAAGCAAATATTTCAAGATACTGCAAGATCGTAGATCGGACTAAAATTAATATTTAAAAGTTGCATGTAGTCTTCGTAAACTATGACATCAAAACGTTAAACATTTCCTCCCTTTCATGGTGTATAGTGTTAGAAATGTTTTTTTTACAATTTACTATAATGAATCAGCACATTTCAATTTTACCTGTAAATCTTCATGATTTCCTATTTATTAGCTTCAGCTTTCCTTTAAGTTTATCGTCTGTAATTAAGTACCGGACTGCCCCAGGAGGGTAATGTTTTTCAGGAGTATGTATGGATATATGTATGTCTATTTCTTTGCCAAGATCTGCCTAAACGGCTGGATGTATTTATATATTAGATGTCTTCTTAAATTTACGCGAGTTTACGGATTCTATCGCGTTCAATTAACGACTTTTACTTATTTTTAATTCCCGACGTTTCGATGTAGATCGGACCGAAAAATTAATATTAAAAACTGAAGGTAGCTAACTGTGACATTGGGACGTCAAACATCTCAGTTCCCCCCGTGACCATGGGTGCTGTAAAGCACCCGAAACGTCAGAAATTAAAAATAAGTAAAAGTAGTTAACTAAACGCGATATAAACCGTAAATTTAGTTTTCTTCAATATTAGATGTCATTATATTCTTTTCAATTGTGGGGGAGACATAGACTACAAAATTATTCTCTTTTCAGTAAACATTTCTACGCTGTCGATTTATTTATTACTGTTTCAATGATAGGACTTAAACAATTTCAAATAGCACTTTTTATAACTTAAATTTTGTAGCTACCTTACTCGATAGAGGCGTTGGTCGTAAAACCACTTTACCCAGCTCCTTGTCCTCTAATGCAAGGACTCCAGGGTTTTCTGTGTACAGCTTCACTTTCACAGCTGGCAATGGCTGCGTTGTGCTGAAGTCGCCTTGCGTATCCCACCTGTTTATAAACAATCATGAGCTTAATGATTTGTCATATACATTACGCGAACACTACACATTATTAAAAAAAAAAAAAAAAAAAAAAAAAAATTTATTAATAAATGAATGAAATTGACTGGACTCCATTTAAGAAGTAATCCGTGCTCTTCCTTATCTAAACAACATAAAAAAAACCAAAAATAACAAAAACAAATTACTCGACTTAACAACCAAAATTTACAAAAATTACAAAAGTGTGTATGTGTGCATGCGTGTACACCGCATTATTAAAACTACTTTTACGGATTTAACCGCGTTTAATTTTAATTATTTTTAAACTGTCGTCTTAAATGCATAATAGTAACATCAAATGTATGACGCCGTATTTGTCCCGCACCATTCATCCAATTACGATGAAACTTTAGTCTTATGAGAATCAAGAGTTTCGAAACAACTAAATGTCTGTTTTATTTCATTTCTATTCGTACCTTTTGTTAAAGTTTTAAGCCAGAAATTAAAGAGTGAGCATTCATAGCATATAAAAAGAAAGAAAGTATAATCTTTTATTCAACATAGATAATCATCATCATCATCATCATTACAGCCCTTCACAAGTCCACTACTGAACATAGGCCTCCCCCAAGTAATGCCACAAAGCACGGTCCTGAGCCAAATGCATCCATCGACTTCCTGCATGTCTTACCAGGTCGTCACTCCATCTAGTGGGGGGTCGCCCTACACTACGCCTACCGGTACGAGCCTGCCACTCGAGAACCTTTCTTTCCCATCGGTTATCAGTTCTTCGAGCTATATGGCCGGCCCATTGCCACTTCAAAAAATTCACTTCACTTCATTCTTGAAAGACATTTTTTACTTAACCACTGTTCAGAAAAAAACCCTGTGGTGGTAAGATATCACACAATATTTTTCACTTAGTATACCCGTCTAGTGGCAGCGTAAGAGATTCCTCTAGCTCTACCACATACCCTTGTGAATTCTGGCACTCACATCTGCAAAAAAATCATTTAAAAAAATATCCTCAAAAATCTTACATGGGCTTAGAGGCTTCCGCTTGATCGGTCTGCAGTTTATCGCCGCCTTCCACCTCCATCGTGCAGTACACGATTCTGTTCGGTGCTAGCGACTTTAGACCTTTAACTTCCATAACAACCACCTAGAATGTATCCAATGATAATTTATTTCATATTTCTGTCATTTTATACGACATCTGTGATAGTTATTTCAAGATTAGAACTCAGAAAATGGAATACTTAAAGACTAATGGTAGACACACACGACCAGTTAAACTTATCAGTTGAACTGATCAGTTCAACTAATCAATTTAAACGAGTGTAAGTCAAAACGATTTTTTCACTACTGGCTTCAAATTTTAACTTAATATTTCACACACACGGTCAGTATTTGGATGTACATCAGTTTAATTGATCAGTTTAACTGACCGTGCGTTCGAAAGCGCGTGCTGAGCGCGTGAAGCGCGTGAGAGCGTGTTCCTGCCCCGGTTGAGCCGACCCGTTCGTGCAGCGTGGCTTTAGTACGTAAATAAACTGATCAACTGATTCAACTGATCAGTTTAACTGATCGTGTGTATCTAGCACAAAATTGGTAAATTGATCATCTTTGGTATTTCGATAACAAACTGTATAATTATGATAGTTTGTACATAACATGGTAAGCATGTTTGCTATTTGCAACAGTAAGTATGTAAGTATATAGCTAATAGTATATAATATATTTTTAAGTCTTATTAAATTTTTAACAAACGTTCGGGTAGTTAAAATTTTATCGTTAAAAATTGTTCAAATATGTTTCTTTTTAACTTTACCATATCCTTCTTTCTGTATTCTAATTTGTACATACTAGAAAATGATGACAATTAAACGCGCTAGTAAAAAAAGTGCATATATTAGCTTAACCCTGAAATTTTTCAGCAAACCATTGAGGAAAGAGAAATTTTGCTTTAGTACCTACAAGTAGGTAGTGTGCATAAATAAAGAAAATTAACATAATTAAGCAACAATTAATCTTATATTTAAATAAGAATTAGTCTTATATTAAAAAAATTATAATAAAATTATCCTCCACTCCACCATCGTAAGCATATTTAACTAATAATTGAAATAAAAAATAGAATAATTAAGTTTGAATCAGTTACGCATATTTATATAATTTTATGGTTAGTGATTTATTTAAATTTAAAACTATATTATGTGCTGAGACTTATCGCCTGATAATAACACAGCTATTACACGAACTACCGTCTAGAAAATTACCTCGTAGTGGCGGTGTACGAATATCCACTACCCCGTATCATCCCGTGGGTGTCGTAAGAAGCGACAGGGGGAAATAAATCAGGAGATGGGCAGCAGCGTTTTCCTAATAACGGCCAAAAAAAAAAACTAAACCAACTCGCTTGCCAAGCGAAGCAACTATGGAAAATATCTCCCCTAAGAGGCAGCGAATGCGGGGGGAGGGGTATATTGAGCAGTTGAATTTAATAGGTTGTAACGATAATACACGAATGTTCGTAATCGATTATTTAATCGGAAATAATTTAACAAAACTGACAGACACTTTCAAATTATTCAAATATAATTAGTACTATAATTACTCAAATATAAATAATATAATAGTAGTTACGTTGTACCAGTTCTGGCGCACTTGTAGAAAGGTTGTACCAGTTCTGGCGCACGACGTTCGTCGACTCACGATCCTAATTTTGGCATGCTCTGATCACGAATCTGCGGTCCATTTTTGCGTAGGATGCACGGTTCCGGAGATGTGCAGATCAATTAACTCTTATCTAATTGATATCCGCTGCGAGCCTCAACCGTCATTAGCGCTCCATTGTCCTTATCTACTTATCTATTGTTGATTGACTACCGTCATTATCTATTATTCGTCCAGCGTGTGGGTCGGCTTATGCTATTGTATTATACTCCTTTGTTCCTATCTACAACACTAATCTGAATCATCAATAAAACACATTACCTAAATTTGTTAAAATTTTTATTTATAAAATACAAAATCTTATTTATTACTTATTATCTATAAAATAGGAGCGAAACATCTCATCCACTAACATATCGTTGTACAATGTGTTCTCTGTAAATATACTCGTAAAACTATGCATTGAACATCCCTGAAACTTATATAGCAAATACATTAAGCAATATTCGCCACAAACTGAAGTCCTATCAACATTCCAGTTCCAAAGTTTGCGAAGAGTTGTTGCATCTCTTTGCGTATTTTATCGCATCTATCACGGGGAGTGCTCTGAGGAATTGTTCGGATTAATCCCAGCCGCCAAATTTCGTGAACGCACTACACGGCAAACGTCCCGATACCATCCACACCATCTGGATGCTTGGCAGTCCACCACTGTACGTTTCAAAAGGAGTTTTCTTCCGCGTACAACCTCTCTGTGGAATAATTTACCACCGGTGATTTTTCCAGACCGATACGACCTGGGGACCTTCAAGAAAAGAGCTTACTCCTTTCTAAAGGGCCGGCAACGCACCTGCAATTCCCCTGGTGTTGCGGTTGATCATGGGCGGCGGTAGTCACTTAACATCAGGTGTGCAAAATGCTCGTTTGGCCCCTGTTCTATAAAAAAAAAAAAATCTTTTACAATTTCGTACAGGTGCCCGTCCATATGAATCAAAATATTCACCGACGTCATTCGTATCGATATATAAAGCTACCCAATGTGACCCTGGTTTATCATCTGTATCCAAATTGCATATTACCTAGTCAGGTCATAAATTCTATCACATGTTTAATGTAAACTAATTGAAACAAGTTTATTCATTATGTAACCATTTATATACAAAAATGAACTTAACAAAACATAGATTCTTATGACACTATAGTTTATTCAAAATGACCTCCGTAATTTTGAATACAGGCCTTCAATCTGCGCGGCCAGTCGTCTATCTCACCACGAACGAGGTCCATGTCATATCGGCGGCTGCCTTAATTAAAGATGTCTTGAGTGACTCGAAATTGGGATGAGGCTTTGAGCATGCCTTTTCCTCCAAGTGATACCATATCTTGTAATCTAACGGATTCAAATCTGGACTGGTCTTTGTGTCGGATGAAGTCGATTTCACGCGCCGCCAGCCAGTCTTTTTTTTTGTTTTTACAAACACAAATTTCACAAGGACAAACATCCAAACTCGGAACAATTACTTGTAGGTCGTACAAATACTTGTTCAGTGCGGGATTCGAACCCGCGACCCCCAAGCGCAGTCACTAATTGCTAAGCCACTACGCCACGGAGCTGTCAAAAGTCTTGTGTGCTCTTCGCTCTATGAGCTGACGCCGAATCTTGTTGGAATACCCAGTGCCTGTTATTGAACATGGTATGAGAAACAGGTTACACAAGGTTCGTCAGGACTGTATTTTGATACACAACTGCATTCGTTTTTAACCTTTCTCACAAAAATGTACCTCTGTAAAGCCCCAATAAGAAACTCCCAACCACACTATGAGCGAGGACGGAAAATGACCCCGTTGGACACGCGGAATACGGTTGCTCGCTTCTTCACTACTGTGTGCGTACACCTTATCATTTTGTTTGTTGTAGCTCTCTTCTACGGTACAAATTTTTTATCCGAAAAAAAGAATTTCCCGATATTTTTTTCCCGCGTACCGCTTCACCAAAGCGCGGCATCTCTTCAGTCTCAGATCCATTAGATGAGCATTCAAACGATGTCCTGTTTTTCTTCGATATGCCCGAAGCCCTAAGTCTTCATTTAACGCCGTGGTTCTGCTTAACCCCATCTGAAGGGCCAACAGTTTCTGCTTACGTTTGGGATTTCTTTGAATTCGCACCTTTACAGCTTTTATCACTGCTGGAGTCCTAACAAATCGAGGGCGACCACTTCTTGACCTGTCATCTACACTAGAGTCTTCATTGTATCGTTTGATGGTACGATAAACGAATCTTTTGGTTATATTCAAATTTTTCAGTATATCAAAAAATTTAATTGGCGCGTAATCGCAACTGCAACACGGTCTTTTTTAAGCGTCCACTCCATATGTAAAAATGAGTAAAATTCTAAAAAGTATACAGTTTTATTTTCATGAACAATTCGAATTCAATAAACTTTTTTGTGGCCAGCATTCTAAAAGAAAAGTTTTTACTGTGTGACAATACTTATGACCTGACAAGGTATATACGTTGGTACGTGGGTGTACATGGGCAGTATGTTAGCAGCATAAACATTATTTTCTAGACTGGGGTGAATCTTTTTCAGATGTTGTTGTACATCTAGTGTATCCATGATATTACTGCTATTAGTAGATTACTACAGTACAATCTACTCAATGACTAACATAGGAATGATCAATTATGTGATTTCTAAATATTAAATTGCATTTTTTCTGTTATACAAAACGTATTTGAGTCATCAATACACTGAATAAGACGCAACACGAAGAATGTGAGATAAGGTTGTTGACGCATAAAGTTATTATCAATTCTACTATAGAAATTCTTTAGATTAGAATTATTACTTACTGGTACTATATAAGACCAAGCAACTGCAGTCATGGAGTTAGTGTATGGTCGTTTGACCGCAGTGTATCTATCAATAATACATTTGTGTTACTTCAACGCATCAAAGGCCATAGATGTAAGTGTTTAATCTATTGACAAATTTACTTTTCTTTCTGTTATTTTTTTACGTGTGTATGATTTTGAACGACAGGCCTGTTGGTCTAGTGGTTAGTGACCCTGACTGTTATGCCGGAGGTTGTGGGTTCGATTCCCACCCAGGACAAATGTTGTGTGTAGGTGTGTGTCTGGGTCTAATTTATCTATAATATTTATGTATTTAGAAATATATAAGTATGTTTATCAGTTGTCTAGTACCCATAACACAAGCTCTGCTTAGCTTGGGACTAGATGGCGTTGTGTGATAGTTGTGGAATATTATTATTATTATTATTATTTAGTGTTAACAAATTATATTTAAATATTTTGTGTGTGTATATGATTAAGCCGTGGTAGCTCAGATGGTTAGCGCAAGCTGTAAATTTTACAGTATGTAACGCGGGTTCGATCCCCGCCGACACCACTTAAATTGTTAATTGCAATTTTAAGTGCTGATTTACCACGTGCTCGGCGGTGAAGGAAAACATCGTGAGGAA